GATGTCATATGAAGAGGAGCACAGGAATCATAGGATCAGGCAAAATAAGGGTCATGGCAGAGTTCATCAAGATCTGTAGTAGAAGTGGTTCTATGACAGATCTCATCCAAATCAGCACAAGTGGGATGTTGCTTTGAATCCTGCCAAAATCAGTAGTATCTTGATTGTAAGATAGATCTCGCCAGAGCTGGCAAGATCACACCAATCCTCACCAGTCCCACAGCAGGACAAGACATCATAGACATTGGGTCTGCCACCCTGAGGAAACAGGGGGGCCAACACAACGATGAACTCAGAACAAGAGGGTGGGTGAGATGAGGAATGGAGGCGAGTCACCACCCAGATGAAGTGGGATTGGCCCCTGTCGATGATGAAGCAGCATGGGCGAGAGAAGCGATGTCAATGGGCAGCATCGCAAGGTGGATGGAAAGGATAGGAAGGGGGAGGGGGAGGAGGAGTGTTGAAGAGGCCTCCCCAAGCAGGAGCAGCATCGCAGGCGACATTGCGGGAGTGGATATATAACCATGCTCCTCGTCATAGCAAGTGAGTAGATCGCGATCCACTCTACACCATATCTGTCAGAGGTCTCGCGCCTAAAACCTGATATCTGTGATATAAACGCATCTATTACGATTCCTGTCGAGATATGTGGTAACATGTGGTGTATTACAATTTCTATTGAGGTATGTCATAGAGAAGCCTCTATGGCTTTTCTTGCCCAAAGATGTAGTAACAAGTTTGCTATTGCAGGTTTCAACTGACCACTGTGGACACTCCATCCAGAGGTAGCTCAGCATGATCAATAACTGATATGAACTGGTACTAACACCAAGGTCTGGTGTGATTGAGATTGTTGATGTCGCTGACATGAGTGTCCAGTGTGTTGACTGAGTGCTTGAGGTGATCCCTGGACTGCAGTGGATGACTGCCTTTGGTTCTATGATTGTGAGCTGGACTGCAGGTTGCTATGAACCACCTTTGGTGTTGATTGTTATCTGGACCACTGGTTCTATGAACCACCTTTGGATGTCAGTGAGTGGTGATACAACACATGTGCTACAATGGAAGCAATCTACTTGATTGCAACTTTGCTGACTGGAAACTAATGTATACTTATGTGAAGTGATAACTAGTTTATGGTGTAGAGTGGATGGTGATCCACTCTCTTGCTAGGACAGGGAACATGGTTATATACCTTTTTTGCAATATCACCTGCAACACTGCTCATCCTCCTTGTTCCTCCTATGCTCCCCATCCACCTTGTGATGCCCCTCATTGGCACCGCTTCCTCATCTCCTGTGGATGGATGGGCCTCTTGCTGCCTCGTCTCCATCAGGGGCCAGTCCCACTTCATCTGAGTGGTGACTTGCACCCCCTTCTTCTCATTTTCCTCTGACTCTGGCACCCACCTTCTTATACCAGTTTCATCATCGTATAGGGCCCCTACCTCATCTGATGGTGTCCCCTCCTTGTTCGGTGACCTCTCCTTGCCATATCAGCGATAGAGGCATCTCCTTGAACTGATCCTCATAAGATCTGTCATACCTATTGTGGTATTACCTTTCCCACTGCATTCTGTGATACCGACCTTGTTCCTGTTGATCCTGGTGGATTATGCCATAGAGTCATTTCTACTACCAATCTCAGTGAACTCTGCCTTAAGCTCTCGCATAGCCCGATCCTTCGATTTCTGTGCTCTGTCATAGGAGCCGGATGTGCAGGAGGCAGGAAGAAGTTGAAGCCATATGAAGGAGTGCAGAAATCGCAGGATCAGGCTAAACGAGAGCTTAAGGAAGAGTTTGCTGAGATCAGCAGTAGAAACAATCCTATTGCATATCTTGTCAGGATCTGTGAGAATGATGTTGTTACTACAGAGTTCAGTGGAAATCACAATATCATGCTGGGTACTGCAGATCTCAAGAGGATCAATCAGAGAGGCACTCCATTGCCAATATGGTGAAGAAGAGGTCACTGAACAAGGGGGGACACCATCAGAAGAGGCAGGGGCACCATAGGGATGACGCTGGTGGAAGGAGGTGGGCACTGAATACAAAGAAAGGACAAAAGGGTGTGAGTTGCCACCCAGATGAGGTGGGACTGGCCCCTGACAAAGATGAAGCAGCCAGAGGCCACCCATCCAGAGGAGGCAAGGAGGCATTGCCAATGAGTGGCAACACAAGGTGGATGGGGAGCATAGGAGGGATGAGGAGGATGAGCAGTGTCATGGGCAACATTGCAAGAAAGGTATATAACCATGTGTCATGGGCCTGGATGCTCAAGAGCAGGAGGGACACTGGTTCATATGGAAGGAGCACAGGTATCGAAGATCTAGTCGATACCAGTAGAGAGCATGGTCGTAGTGCAGTCTCCATGGAGACCATGGATTCCTACGGACTCACATGCAAAGGAGGGCCAAGCACAGCCACGAGGAGGACCAAGCTCAAGGAGCAGGCACAGCCACGAAGAGGACCAAGCTCAAGGAGCAGGCACAGCCACGAGGAGGACCAAGCTCAAGGAGCATGCAGATGGTTACCACTCAGGGGCTCGAGAGACAAGAGCCAAAGGAACTGTCACTGATCAAAGGAGAAGGAGCAGTGTCGAAGGAGTCGACACCAGGTCATGAGGAGGAGGAGCAGTGTCGAAGGAGTCGACACCACTCAAGAGGCACAGGGGTGCCAAGCAGGAGAGGCCCCTGAGCAGTACTCGATGAAGAAGGTACTCTCTGGAGAGAGAGCAGGAGCAGCATCGCTGGCAATGCTGTGAAGAGGTATATAACCATGCTTTCTCATCATCATAGGTTGAGTGGATCCTCATCCACTCTACTCACCATACAACTAGTCAATACTTTAGAAACATAAGTACTCATTAGTTACAGTCAGCAGGGCAGCAATCTATCAAGGTTGCTCCTCATCATAGTGTGTGTGTTGTATCACCACTACCTGATGTCCGTAGGCGCCTCATAGCAGGTTAGCAGTCTGGATATAGATAGAACCGAAGGCAGTAGTCCACTGCGGTCCAGGGGTCACTTCAAGCATCAAGTCAACACACTGGACACTCATGTTGACACCACCAACCTTATCACCAACATCATCAACCTCATCATCATCAACACTAACACCAGACCTTGGTGTCATCATAACCGAAGCATTGATATTGATCATGCTGAGCTACCCCTGAACAGAGTGTCCACAGAGGTCAGCCAAAACCTATGATAGTATATACAATGAATGCCACCTGCTGTCACTGCACAACTTGATAGTCACCAATACTGAGACAATAGCTGTCACACAGTTTGATAGTCACCGAGTATCTCGACAGACCGACCTGGGTTTCAGGCGCGAGACCCCTGACAGTACCCTCCTCGTCGAGTACTGCACAGGGATCTCCAAGGAGGCACCTTCTCTGTTTCAAGCCTTGTCCCTCCTGTCTTTCCTGAGCTGTGTCGACTTCATCAACACTGCTCCTCCTCTTCATGTCCCTTTCGCCAGTGTCCTATACACAGATCTCCTTCCTTTGACCAGTGATGGTTCTCTTCTACTCCTGTCCTGTGGGCCCCTGAGTGGTAACCATCTGCATGTCACTGAGCTCGGTCCCTCTCACATGTGAATCGTCATACAGACATCCTTACTACCGATCTCTGCAGAATCTGCCACATGATCTTGCTTGCTGCAGATTCTGGTGGGATTCGTGATATCGACGATGCTCATGCCAATTTCACTGTGATCTGCCATAGAGCTGATTCTACTACCGATCTTGGTGAACTTTGTCACAGCTCCTCCAATCTACCCGATTCCATGATTCCTGTGCTACCTTCATATGAACTTCGGTCTTTCCTCGTTCTGCGCACCTAGGCCCATGACACTCACTGGAGAGAGGGAGCAGGAGCAGCGTCGCTGGCGACGCTGCGAAGAGGTATATAGTCCTACCTCCTCGTCACAAATGGTCGAGTGGATCCTCATCCACTCTACACACTCATCAAACAAACTAGTATTACTTCAAGCAATAAGTATCATTAGTTCACAGTCAGCATAGTAGTAATCAACAGATTGCTCCTCATTGAAGTGTGTCAGGGGTCTCGCGCCTGAAACCCAGGTCGGTCTGTCGAGATACTCGGTGACTATCAAACTGTGTGACAGCTATTGTCTCGGTATCAGTGACTATCAAGTTGTGCAGTGACAGCAGGTGGCATTCATTGTATATACTATCATAGGTTTCAGCTGACCTCTGTGGACACTCCGTTCAGGGGTAGCTTGGCACGATCAATATCAATGCTTCGGTTATGATGACACCAAGGTCTGGTGTGAGTGTTGATGATGATGAGGTTGATGATGTTGGTGATAAGGTTGGTGAGTGTTGATGATAATGAGGTTGATGGTGTTGGTGATAAGGTTGGTGGCGTCAACACGAGTGTCCAGTGTGTTGACTTGATGCTTGAAGTGATCCCCAGACCACAGTGGACTACTGCCTTCGGTTCTATCTTGTTCTGGACTGCTAACCTGCTATGGGTGCCTTCGGACATCAGGTAGTGGTGATACAACACACACACTACGATGAGGAGCAACCTTTGATGGATTGCTGCTATGCTGACTGAAACTAATATATACTTATGCTGAAGTGATAACTAGTTATGGTGAGTAGAGTGGATGAGGATCCACTCGACCTATGATGATGAGAAAGCCTGGTTATATACCTCTACTCAGCATCACCAGCGATGCTGCTCCTGCTCTCTCTCCAGAGAGTACCCTCTTCATCGAGTACTGCTCAGGGGCCTCTCCTGCTTGGCACCCCTGTGCCTCTTGAGTGGTGTCGACTCCTTCGACACTGCTCCTCCTCCTCATGACCTGGTGTCGACTCCTTTGACACTGCTCCTCCTCCTCATGACCTGGTGTCGACTCCTTCAACACTGCTCCTCCTCCTTTGATCAGTGACAGTTCCTTTGGCTCTTGTCTCTCGAGCCCCTGAGTGGTAACCATCTGCATGCTCCTTGAGCTTGGTCCTCTTCATGGCTGTGCCTGCTCCTTGAGCTTGGTCCTCCTCGTGGCTGTGCTTGGCCCTCCTTTGCATGTGAGTCCATAGGAGTCCATGGTCTCCATGGAGACTGCACTACGACCCTGCTCTCTACTGATCTCAACTAGATCTTCGATACCTGTGCTCCTTCCATATGAACCCATGACCCTCCTGCTTCTTGAGCATCCAGGCCCATGACACTACCCCCCTCTTAAGAGCCGAGCTCCGTCGAGGCATGCTCTGGTCTGGTCCATGCTGACTCCTCCTCCTCCTCCTCGACAACATCACCAACATCATCCTTCCTCCTTCTCTCACGTCATCCTCCTTCCTCTTCCTCTCTCTACTCCTCCTGTTCTCTCCTCCTTTCTCTACACGTCATCCTCCTTCCTCTTCCTCTCTCTACTCCTCCTGTTCTCTCCTCCTTTCTCTACTTTGTCTACTCACTCGTCCCCCCTCCGACACCTCATACTCCTGGATGAGGTCGGGACAGTTGAGGTTCTCTACTGGTTCCCATGAAGCAGCTTCCTCTGAGTACCCTCTCCACAACACCTTGTACTCTGTAGTCCCATTGTGTGAACACTTGTCGATGAGTGCTTCGACTTCGAAGTCGAGGTCCTCATCTGGAAGTGATGGTATGGTGGGCTGTTCAGCACGTTGAGGAAGAGAACTTGTTCTTGCTGGCTCGAGCATGGAGACATGGAACACATCATGCACCCTAAGGTTTGCTGGCAATGTGATTCGATAAGCTCGGTGTCCTACCTGTTCCTGAACTGGGTAGGGTCCTGCAAACCGGGTATCTAACTTGGGTGTGGGTCTCCGTGTCTTCCAGTTTCGACGGTTGATATAGACCATATCACCCACCTTAAACTCGATGTCCTTGTGCTTCCTGTTATACTGGTCTACTGATCTCCGTTGTGCCTCTCTGATCTGCTCCTGGAGGTACTTGCAACGCTCCTTTCCATCCATGAGGTACTCAAAGCGACCTGGATCATTGACTCCTAGTCGTTGAGGGATGTCAGGACGAGCTTTGGGGTTCCATCCATAGCATGCAAAGAATGGTGAGACACCAATGCTGTTGTGGACCGTGTTGTTGTATACAAAGGCTGCAGTGTCCAGCAGGTTGGCCCAGTCATCCTGTTCATAGTTGCAGTACATCCTGAGGTATTGCTCTATGACCTGATTGACTCTCTCTGTCTGACCATCAGTTTGAGGATGGTAAGCCATACTAAGTGAGTGCTTCACACCCATTTGCTCTGCAAATGCCTTCCATGCTCCTGATATGAACTGCCTGCCTCGGTCCGAGACCATGTGATCTGGATATCCGAAGAGTCTAACCATGTGTCCATATAGCAATACTGCAGTCTGTTTGGCCGTGACTGTCTTATGGGTTGGAGCTAGTATGGCAAACTTGGTTAACCTGTCGACGATGACTAGGATAGAGTCATAGGTCTTGGAGTCATACTTCTTCAATGGTGGTAGTCCTTCAATGAAGTCGAGGGATATGGAGCCCCAGGGCCTGTCTGGTGTTGCTAGTGGCTGTAGCAAACCATATGGATGGTGACGAGGAGCTTTGTACCTAGCACATACAGGACAACTTGCTACATAGTCTGCAATCCAAGCTGTCATGTTTGGCCACCAGTAATGTCGTTGAGCTGCCTTGATGGTAGCATCTCTTCCTACGTGTCCAGCAGTAATACCATCATGGCATTGGGTCATCACCATGAATCGCAGATGCTCTACCGAGAGAGACTGTCCATCTACCTCTTTGGCACTCCTTGAGTGTCAGTTGTTGGTCCTCCCTGGCATGATCACTTTGGGGATAACCAACCTTCCTCCACTGTACCATAGGTCGTCCTTGAGTTCGAAGGGCTTCTTCCTATGTATCTCCTGTAGCTCTTGGTCTAAGGGCTGGAAGATCTTGACCAGGTCTCTGAGACCTTTTGATGCTATGGACTCCATCGAGAGCATAGGGGCCACCAGGGTCGAGTCATGGTCTGCTGTCTCCTTGAACACTCGAGGAGGCAGTAGTTGCCTCACATTGTGATCCTGCTCTTCACCAGCTGGTTGCATGTCTGTCCTTCTGGTGAGAGCATCGGGTTCACCACCTTTGTCTCCTGGTCGATACTGCAATATGAAGTCGAAGTCTGCTAGTAGTATGGCCCATCGAGCCTGTCGACCTGTGATGCGTCTCTGTGACTTGAAGTACTTGAGGGCTTCATGGTCAGTGAGGATGACCAGTTGGTTTGGTAGTCCAGCTAGCATGTGTCGCCACTGAGTAAGGCAGGCAACCACAGCTAGGAGCTCCTTGTCATGGATTTCATAGTTCTTCTCGGCAGAAGACATCTTCCTAGAGTAGAAGGCCACTGGATGCCATCATCCTTCATGCTCCTGCTTGAGTACTCCTGCTATAGCAAAGTCACTTGCATCAGTCTCCAACCTTGTTGGAAGGTGGTAGTCGAAGTGCTGAAGCACTCCTGCTGATGTGAAGGCCTGGATAAGCTTGTGGAAGGCCTGTTGGGCCTCCTCTGGTAGCTCGAACTTCTTGAACCGTTCTATAGGCTTTACCAGTGCTGTCAAGGGCTTGGCTATGCGAGCAAAGTGGGCTATGAACCTTCGATAGAAGTTGGCAAAACCCAGGAACCTCTGGATGTCATGGATTGACTCTGGCATTGGCCACTCCTTGACAGTGCGCACCTTTTCTGGGTCCATCTCTATGCCCGTCGGCTTGATGATGTACCCCAGGAACTTGACTGTCTTGGTGTGGAACTCACACTTCGACAGCTTAGCAAAGAGCGTGTTGCTCCTTAAGCAAGTGAGGACCTCGGTGACATGCTTCACATGTACCTCCTCAGTGTCACTGAAGATCAGGAAGTCATCTAAGTATACCACTACATATACTCCAATGATGTCTCGGAAGATGTCATTGATGAATGACTGGAAGTGAGCTGGAGCATTGGCTAGGCCAAAGGGCATCACTAGGTACTCGTAGAGTCCCAACTGGGTGCCAAAAGCTGTCTTCCATTCATCCCCTTTAGCAATCCGGATGAGGTTGTATGCTGCTCTAAGGTCTAGCTTGGTATAGATCCTTGCCTTCCTGAGTAAGAACAGCTGCTCCTCGATGAGGGGCAATGGTGCCCTGTTCTTGACAGTGATCTCATTGAGACCTCTGTAGTCCACACAGAGTCTGAGACCTCCATCCTTCTTTGGTACGAAGAGCACTGGTGATCGTGCCAGGCTCTTCGATGGTCTTATGAACCCCTTCTCAAGGTTCTCATCCAAGTATCTCCTCAACTCGGACATCTCCTTGGGACCCTTAAGGTATAGGGGCCCTTGAGGTGGCTTACCTCCTTCTATCAACTCGAGGTGGAGATCATGCTCGGTATGATGGGGCAGCTTGTCTGCTTCCACCTCATCGAACACATCTTGCAGGTATTGGTATGGCTTTGGTATGTCTGCAGCCGTCACCACCTTGTCTACCTCCACCTCCATCTCGACTCCTTTGTCTGTGCCTGTAGGTACAAAACCAAAGGCCGGGAGTGATGATGGTGGCTCCTCCAACAGCATGAACCCTATGGGTCCATCTTCTAGAGCTGCTTGTAGTATGTGCTCTGCTGAGACAAACTCGTTACCATGAAGGGTTGGTCTCCTCATGGTTAGGTCCCCTGCTCTTGCTGCTTCAGGGGGTCTCCTTGGGGGTCAGTCCTGCTCCTGAGTCTTGAACTCCAGCTGGCCCGTATCCCATTGTATGGTGGGTTTGAGCCTCCGTAGCTCAGTGAACCCCAGGATGAGGTCATAGTCTGCAGTGTCGGCCACTGAAGCTTTGACCACACCCAGATTGTGTGTACCAATAGATACCTGCATGCTCGCAGAACTATTGATGGAGAGTTGGTGCCCGGTGACACCATGGATCGATCTTGTTTTTATGGGTTTTGTGGGTATTTGGTACTTACTAATGAAAGAATCTGAGACTATGGACAAACCAGCACCGGTATCAGCTAGTATCCAAGCAGGATGGTCTTGAACCATTCCAGAGAGCTCCAGTACTGCTTTGCCTCCACTGGTAGAGAAACATACTTGACAATCTTGATATATACAGATTGATGGCGAGGAGGTTTGTAGAGCAATGCATGCCATCAGTGCATCACCCCACTGACGTTTCCCTCATCGTCATCATCATCATGCTCCTCCTCCTCATGGTCGAGGTCCATGGGTTGCTGGTATGAGCTGAGGTCCATGGCCTCGGGGTCACCCGTCTCAGTACTGCCTGTGTGGCCATCTCCTGAGTCGGTGGCCTCCTCAAAGGGGTCTGCTGTGGTGACCATAACCTTTGGTCCCATGGGTCGAGAGCTAAGAGGGTCTACCCTCCTGCTGGGGCAGTCTCTGGCCCAATGGCCGATACCCTTGCATACATGACAGGTGTTGATACCTGATGGAGCAGGGCTTCCTTGCTTCGAGGGTTGGGTGGGATGATGAGGAAGGGGTCGGTTTAGGTTTTGTATAGTTGCTTGTGTAGTTGCTTGTGATGGTGATCGAGCTGGATAAGGTTGAGTGGGTTGTCGGATGGGGATCGAACTTTGATTTGGCCGAGACCCAGTTCTTAGTGGAGGTGACGTGGCGTTTGGGAGTGAGTGTCTAGCCGAGGACTGCTGTAGTAGCATCCTCTGCCGATCGATCTCCTCAACCTCTCGGTACCACTCCCATCTCTTCCCAGGTGGATTCCTCTTGAACTTCTCCTGTATGCTGCGAGTGAGACTTCCTCTGAAGAGATCAATCACTAGCTCGTTGTCATCTAGGTTGACCTGTCCCTCCAAGTCTCTGAACCGCTCTACATGATGTGTGGCGGCACCAGGAGCATCACTTGTGAGTCTGAGAGCCAACAGCTTGTTGTATGCCTCCATCCTAGCATTGCGTGGGTTGAACTGCTCTGACAGTTGCTCTGTGAAGTAGTGCCAATCATTGAACAACCTTCCTTCTCTAGCTCTATCAATACGGAGCTTGGAGGTCCACCACTCTCTTGCTGTCCCTTCCAGTTGAGCACCCATGTGGTTGATCATCCTAGTCTGCTCATACACCTGGTTGAACTTAAACCATGCTTCGGCTTCTAGAATGAAGATCTCCATGTCTTGGGGATTGAACTTTGGAAAGGGGGTGGCGATGGGCTTTGACCGGTTAAGCTCTGCCATGATGCTGGTGTCCTCCTCATGGTCCAGGGGGTAAGGGTCCGTCCTAGTCCTGCTGTAGGGGTCCAGCTTAGTCTTGACATATCTTGGCCCAGTAGGTGAAGCATACTTCTCGTAGTTGATGTCCTCCTGCTCATCCAGGTTGAATGAGACTGAACGTCTTGGTTGTGGAGCTGGAGTAGGAGTATGTGGGTCTCCTATCATAGACTCATCTCCTCCTCCTGCTTGGTCTTCTGAGTGAGAGAGGTCCATTGTCTCCTCCCTGCTCAGTTGAGCTCGTTGTAATCGTTCCTCTCAATGACCCTGTCTGGTAAGCTCTAGCTGTGCTTCCAATAGAGTGAGTAGTCTATCGAGCTTATTGTTGAGGTCTGGGTCCATCATGGTGATTGTGAGGAGCTGCTTGAACGATCCACTCTAATGTCAGGGGTCTCACGCCTGAAACCCAGGTCGGTCTGTCGGGATACTCGGTGACTATCAAACTGTGCAACAGCTATTGTCTCGGTATCGGTGACTATCAAGTTGTGCAGTGACAACAGGTGGTGTTCGTTGTATATACTATCGTAGGTTTCGGCTGACCTCTGTGGACACTCCATTCAGGGGTAGCTCGGCACGATCAATATCAATGTTATGATGACACCAAGGTCTAATGTGAGTGTTGATGATGATGAGGTTGATGGTGTTGGTGATGAGATTGGTGATGTCAATGATAATGAGGTTGATGGTGTTGGTGATAAGGTTGGTGGCATCAACACGAGTGTCCAGTGTGTTGACTTGATGCTTGAAGTGATCCCCGGACCGCAGTGGACTACTGCCTTCAGTTCTATCTTGATCCAGACCGCTAACCTGCTATGGGTGCCTTCGGACATCAGGTAGTGGTGATACAACACACACACTACGATGAGGAGCAACCTTTGATGGATTGCTGCTATGCTGACTGAAACTAATATATACTTATGCTGAAGTGATAACTAGTTATGGTGAGTAGAGTGGATGAGGATCCACTCGACCTATGATGATGAGAAAGCCTGGTTATATACCTCTACTCAGCATCACCAGCGATGCTGCTCCTGCTCTCTCTCCAGAGAGTACCCTCTTCATCGAGTACTGCTCAGGGGCCTCTCCTGCTTGGCACCCCTGTGCCTCTTGAGTGGTGTCGACTCCTTCGACACTGCTCCTCCTCCTCATGACCTGGTGTCGACTCCTTTGACACTGCTCCTCCTCCTCATGACCTGGTGTCGACTCCTTCAACACTGCTCCTCCTCCTTTGATCAGTGACAGTTCCTTTGGCTCTTGTCTCTTGAGCCCCTGAGTGGTAACCATCTGCATGCTCCTTGAGCTTGGTCCTCTTCGTGGCTGTGCCTGCCCCTTGAGCTTGGTCCTCCTTGTGGCTGTGCTTGGCCCTCCTTTGCATGTGAGTCCATAGGAGTCCATGGTCTCCATGGAGACTGCACTACGACCCTGCTCTCTACTGATCTCAACTAGATCTTCGATACCTGTGCTCCTTCCATATGAACCCATGACCCTCCTGCTTCTTGAGCATCCAGGCCCATGACATGTGGCTCCAGTCCTCCTTTGCATGTGAGTCCGTAGGAGTCCATGGTCTCCATGGAGACTGCACTACGACCATGCTCTCTCCTGGTATCGACTAGATCTTCGATACCTGTGCTCCTTCCATATGAACCAGTGACCATCCTGCTTCTTGAGCATCCAGGCCCATGACAGTTACCACTCAAGGGGTACATGTGTACAGCCACATAGGACCAAGCATGGGGGCAACCACATGATCAAGGGGCTTGGTGATAGGGCCTGACATCTGGTTAAAGGATTCACAAGATAAGGTCAAGAAGATGGTTGCTGGTGAAGAGAGAAGGAGCTGTGTCAAGAAGACTGGGGATTGTCTATGAGGAGGAGGAGCTGTGTCACAGGGGTCATCACACATCACCAGGCAAAGAAGAGCATGGAGGCAAAGGGGCAGTATTGCACAAACCAATACACTGTGCAAGCAGTAGAGGCACAGCATCAAAGGGATTGACACCAGCAGGAGAGAGAGTGTCAAGAGGAGGCGAAGGCCTCTCAGGAGGAGTAGGAGAGGTGTCACAGGCAACACCAAGCGAATGCATAAATACTCTCATTCTACCATAGCATATGAGTGGAACCTCATCCACTCTACTCTATACTTTACATACTCTTTACTTGACTCATAGTTACATATCATTGCAATAGCAGAGCTTTGCAATGACACCTCAAACATGTGTGTTGTATCACCATTAGGCATCAACTGTAGGTGGTGTTCCTCAACACCTGTGGTCCAGTCCCTTACTGTAGGTGGTGTTTGCTTGACATCTGCAGTCCAGTCAGTTATTGTAGGTGGTGTCCAACACCTGTGGTCCAGTAACTTCCATCCTCTGTAGGTGATAAGCATATCACAGTCCAGATGACATTAGAGAGCATTAGCAACAGTACTATGAACACCCATACTGTAAAGGAGAGTATACTACTCTCCCTCCAAAGAATAAATGGATGTGCCATGCAACCTCTGAATGAAGTGTTCAAGGCAGTCAGCTGAGACCTACCAGTATGAAGCCATCTGGTTACATTTAGTCGAAATGTCCTGAGTAGATCTTACTCGATTGTCCTCACTGATACCAATCGGAAACACCCAATCTGGTTTCTGGCGCGCGACCGCTTACAGATCGACACCGAAGGCGGTTCATAGCAACCTGCAGTCCGGCTCGCAATCATAGAACCGAAGGCAGTCGTCCACTGTGGTCCAGGGATCACCTCAAGCGCTCAGTCAACACACTGGACACCCATGTTGGCAACATCAACAATCTCAATCACACCAGACCTTGGTGTTAGTACCAGTTCATATCAGTTATTGATCATGCTGAGCTACCTCTGGATGGAGTATCCACAGTGGTCAGTTGAAACCTGCAATAGCAAACTTGTTACTACATCTTTGGGCAAGAAAAGCCATAGAGGCTTCTCTATGACATACCTTGATAGAAATTGTAATACACAACACATTACCACTTATCTCAACAGGAATCGTAATAGACGCATTCCTATCACAGATATCAGGTTTTAGGCGCGAGACCTCTGACAGGCTACTCCAGTGCAGCCCGCGCAATCAAAGGACACTGGGTTTGGTTGAAAGATCTTGACTGCATTGTCATAGCCAAGGATGTCTGCTTCTCAGAGCTTGACAATCTGATCACAGGTACACATTCCCCACACATACCAGTCTTATCTGGTGAAAACGATTTACTGTACTCATACAGTTGGCTACCCCCAGATGACAAGCCAGCAGACTCTAATGACAATGAAGATGTTGATCAATTGTTACTGCACTTCTCCAGACAGCTGGAAGCAACTCCACCTGGTAATGACAATGAAGAATTAACACCTTTTCCAGAATGGGACTGAATCATGTCTGAGATACAGGAAGCCAGTGAGATTGTCATCGACATGGATGCTATCCACACCAACCTCCACCACCAGCTTGACGAAGCAATGGCCAAAGGGGGCACCAGCACAAACCCAGGTGATTCTGACAATACCTCACAACTAGAGTCTCTCCAATTCGGCTCACATGATGACTACACATTGTCAAGACCCAAATCACTGGATAGCAGGGTGCCAGATCCCCTGACCCTGTGCAATTACACAGCCCTTGCTACAAGATGCACTGTAGGCCCAATGACCAAGGTCCTAGGAAACTACTTTGACTGGATGGCTTTTGCAGCCACTGTAATAGATGGAGTTGCCCTAACAGCCAGCAGACAACAACTCCAAAGTGCAGATGGTGTCCTGCTCGAACTGCTGCTGTTGTCCGAAGTGAAAAGCTGAGACAGCTGGTCAAAATGGAAGGCAGCCATGAGCACTGAGATGGATAGCATGCGAAAGATGAATGTCTTCAAACTAGTAGATATCCCCACAGATGGCAAACTAATTGGAGTGAGATGGGTATACAAGTTGAAACTGGATGCTCAACATTGCACCACCAGGTACAAAGCAAGACTTGTGGTGCAAGGCTATGCACAAAGACCTGGCTTGGACTATGACCAAACCTTCAGCCCAGTCATTCACCTCCAAATGGTATGAATACTCCTTGCTCTCACCCATCGATATGGGCTGCACATTGTCCAACTAGACATGAGCATGGCTTTCCTAAACAGGAAAATTGACAAAGTTGTCCACATGCAAATCCCCCCCACATTTGAAGCACCTGAGAATGATGGAAAGTGCTACCATCTCAAGAAGGCACTATATGGCCTCAAGCAGGCAGGTAGACTCTGGCATGCTGCCCTTGACAGGCAACTACAAGTGTTTGGATTCAAATGGTGCCAAGCAGAGCCATGAGTCTACACACAAGGAACCAAAGACACTATGGTAATGCTTGTGGTCTATGTTTATGATCTGCTTGTCATTGGAGCAACATTGTCATGTGTCAGTTCCATCAGACAACAATTATCCAGCATCTTCAGCATCATGGATCAAGGAAACATCCTGCACATCATTGGCATGAATGTCAAATACAATTGTGAGTCACAAATGCTTTTGATTGATGAAACTGGGTACATCGAAGGGTTACTTGAAAAGTTTGGTATGTGCAAGGCATGGCCAGCACAATCACCAGCCATGGAAGCAATCAACATGATGGGTCTGCAACAAGGTGATACAGCCAATGCAGAAGAGATCAGGTGCTATGCCTCACTGGTTGGATCACTACTCTGGATCATGCAAGGAACTTGACCTGACATAGCCTTTGCAGTCAGACAATGCACCCATTTTGTTGCCAATCCATCAAGTGAACACCTAGTCACTGCAAAATGGATTATCAGGTATCTAATAGGAGTGATTGATGTCAGCCTAGTGGCAAGCCAGGCCAGTGGTAAGAAGATGTTGTCAGGTTGGACAGACTCAGATTGGGTGGGATCATGAGAATTTCAGTGTTCAACAACAGGGTATGTCTTTGCTATTGACAGCTTCATATGTAGTTGGTCTTCCTGATTGCAGCCGACTGTAGTGAACAGTTTGGTTGAAGCTGAATGCATTGCACTGGCAGCCACAGCGAGGGAAATGCTATGGACATCCATGTTCTTGTGAGAACTGGGCCAGCCATTACCAAGAACATCCTCAGTCCATGTCACTGCCAAAACTTTGGAAGGGCACTCACACAACCAGGAATTGGAATTAGACTCAACTATACCTATCTTGTACAGTGACTCATCTGGAGCAAGAGTCATTGCCAATGATCCACAGCACTTCAAGAGGACAAAGCACATTGATATCATGCACTTCTTCTTGTGGGACAAGGTTGCTGATGGTCAACTCACAATCACCCCCATCCAAAGCAGTGAGAACCTTGCAGATATCCTAACAAACTCCAATTTTTGTTGAGTTTTCACTTGTGTTGAATATTCATTACTTACATAAGCTCTGCCATTTTGAAAAATATTCCAGTTTAAACACATGGCTCTGTTTGGCAGTGCTGGAAACCAATGGTTTGCAGCTGCTCATCAAGTGCTGCATGCCACAAGTGCCATGCTTGTGTCATAGGGCTGGATGCACAGAAGCAGGAAGAATGGATGTCATATGAAGAGGAGTGCAGGAATCTGTCAGGGGTCTTGCACCTGAAACCTGATATCTGTAGTAGAACCACTTCTATTACAGATCCTGTTGAGATATGTGGTAAGATACCATGTATTATTATTTTGGTCAAGATCTGTTTTAGAAGGCCTCTATGACTTTTCTCACTTGAATATGTGGTAGATTGATTGCTATTGCAGGTTTCAACTGACTGCTGTGGACACTCCATCCAGAGGTAGCTTGGCATGATCAATAATGATGGATGTATTGCTATGATACCAAGGTCTGGTGTGATCAATGTTGTTGGTGCCAACATGATTGTCCAGTGTGTTGACTGAGTGCTTGCAGTGATCCCCAGACCACAGTGGATGACTGCCTTCAGTTCTAATGATTGAGAGAGCCAGACCGCAGTATGAACAGCCTTTGGAATGTCAATTGCTGTCAATGAGGGTGATACAACACATGTGCTATGTAGATGCAATGTGTCATGGGCCTGGATGCTCAAGAAGCAGGAGGGTCACTGGTTCATATGGAAGGAGCACAGGTATCGAAGATCTAGTCGATACCAGTAGAGAGCATGGTCGTAGTGCAGTCTCCATGGAGACCATGGACTCCTATGGACTCACATGCAAAGGAGGGCCAAGCACAGCCACGAGGAGGACCAAGCTCAAGGAGCAGGCACAGCCACGAAGAGGACCAAGCTCAAGGAGCATGCAGATGGTTACCACTCAGGGGCTCGAGAGACAAGAGCCAAAGGAACTGTCACTGATCAAAGGAGAAGGAGCAGTGTCGAAGGAGTCGACACCAGGTCATGAGGAGGAGGAGCAGTGTCAAAGGAGTCGACACCATTCAGGAGGCACAGGGGTGCCAAACAAGCAGCAGGATAGCAAGGAGGAGGAGCAGTGTCGAAGGAGTCGACACAGCTCAAGAGGCACAGGGGTGCCAAGCAGGAGAGGCCCCTGAACAGTACTCGATGAAGAAGGTACTCTCTGGAGAGAGAGCAGGAGCAGCATCGCTGGCGATGCTGTGAAGAGGTATATAACCATGCTTTCTCATCATCATAGGTCGAGTGGATCCTCATCCACTCTACTCACCATACAACTAGTCAATACTTTAGAAACATAAGTACTCATTAGTTACAGTCAGCAGGGCAGCAATCTATCAAGGTTGCTCCTCATTGTAGTGTGTGTGTTGTATCACCACTACCTGACGTCCGTAGGCGCCTCATAGCAGGTTAGCAGTCTGGATATAGATAGAACCGAAGGCAGTAGTCCACTGCAGTCCGGGGATCACTTCAAGCGTCAAAGTCAACACACTGGACACTCGTGTTGATGCCACCAACCTTATCACCAACACCATCAACCTCATTATCATCAACACTCACCAACCTTATCACCAACACCATCAACCTCATTATCATCAACACTCACACCAGACCTTGGTGTCATCATAATCTATGCATTGATATTGATTGTGCCGAGCTACCCCTGAATGGAGTGTCCACAGAGGTCAGCCAAAACCTACGATAGTATATACAATGAATGCCACCTGCTGTCACTGTGCAACTTGATAGTTGCCGAACAACTAGCTCGTTGAGACAGATACCGAGACAATAGCTGTTGCACAGTTTGATAGTCACCGAGTACCTCGACAGACCGACCTGGGTTTCAGGCGCAGGACCCCTGACACCACCCAGCACCATACAGACAATGCCTTCGCTGAACAAGCCATCCAAATCATACAAAAGATCGCACATAGTCTGCTATATGACTCAGGAATGAATGAGCATTGGTGGCCTCATGCTATTGCACAGGCAGTGTTCATTCATAACAGACTGGCAGGTACCACTTGTGGAAATGTGACTCCATTTGAACTACTCTACAACAAATAACCCAAACTATGCCACATCTGACATTTCAGATGCATGGCCTATGTTGTACTTAGAGGGAGCACCCACTCAACATGGCTCCAAGATCACCTGGTCGTAAGCAAGCATCTCCATCTGTGCACCCTTCGAGGGAAATACTTGGGTTTCTCTGATGCACCTTGTGCAATCAAAGTTCATAAGGTTTGGCTGCCTGAGCTTGACCATGTCATCGTTACCAAGGACATCCGTTCCTTGGAATTGGAACCATTGGACACTACCACTCCCTTCCCCCACACACCTGTCATCATCAGTGATCATGATCTCCTTCGCTCCTACACCTGGCTCACTCCATATGATACATTGGACAAGACAGACTCGAACGATGTTGTACCATCTTCACTCCAGCCATACTCTCATCAACAACACTTGGTGACTCATCCAGACCCTTTGGAGTCCTCGAGTTTAGATCATGAGTGGGATCACATGATGAATGCCATCGAAGAGGCAGAGGAAATAGTTATCGACCTTGATGCTATTGCTGCAGATCTGGGGGCAGAACTAAATGTGACAATGTCCGAAGGGGGGAACCCTATGCAGGACCTCATGAGTACTCTGAGGAATGTGCCATTGCTCGAGACCCCTCACAGTGACACAACAGCAGACATGTATGATGACATCTCCATACTCAAGCCCATTTGCACAGAGTCACCAGGTCCACTTAGCTACACAGCCTTCACCACAGCTTGCTCTGACACCCAGGCCCCCACCATAAGTGACCACCACCTGGACCACATGGCATTTGTGGTCACTGTGATGAACAGCACCACCCTCGTTGTGAGCAGGCAGCAAATGTGCAGTGCCAACAGCATCCTGCTAGAACCCCTCTTGCTCAACGAAGCTAAGGCCCATGATGACTGGCACAAATGGCAGGAAGCCATGGTCAGCAAAATGGACAGCATGCACAAGATGAATGTCTTTGAGCTAGCTGATGTTCCAAGAAATGGTAAACTCATTGGTGTTCGCTGGGTCTACAAACTCAAGCTCAATGTGCAACAACATGTGACAAGGTACAAAGCATGCCTTGTTGCACAAGGATATGCTCAATGCCAGGGTCTGGATTACAATCAAACATTTAGCCTGGTCATCTGTCTGCAGACAGTCAGGATACTGTTTGCTATCACATGTCGATACAGATCGCATGCAACACAACTTGATGTAAGCACTGCATTTCTAAATGGAAAGATTGACAAAGATGTGCACATCCAGATACCCCCAACATTTGAGGGAAAAGAGACTGAGGGTAAATGCTATAAGTTAAAGGAAGCTCTTTACAGTCTCAAGCAAGCCAGACAACTGTGGCATGCAGCACTGGACAAACAACTACAGGCATTTGGCTTCAGATGGTGCCAAGCAGAACCATGCATGTATACATGTGGCTCAAAGGATGCAATGATACTCCTTGCAGTATACATTGATGACCTGCTTGTCATCAGAGCAACTGTCTCACAAGTTCAGTCTGTACAACAGCAGCTCTCAAGCATGTTCAGCATCACTGATCAAGGAAATGTGTCTCACATTATTGGGCTGAATGTAAACTACAACCAAGAAGCCTGCATGCTCTCAATTGATCAGAGCAGGTACATTGAGGGCATCATAGCGAAGTTCAGGATGGACCAGGCTTGAATGGCTTTGACACCAGTGACCAAGAGCATCAACTCTCTCAAACCACAAGAAGGAAGCATAGCAAGTGCTGAAGAGATACAACACTACACCTCACTTGTAGGATCACTACTATGGATTGCTCAGGGCACAAGACCAGACATCATGTTCACAGTTGGCAGATGTGCATGGTTCATAGCAAACCCATCTGGAGAACACCTTGTGGCTGCCAAACATGTATTAAGGTACTTGAAAGGGACAATGGAGGTCAGCCTCTCAACAAGGATATTGGGTAATGAACCATTGCTCTCAGGATGGGCAGACAGTGATTGGGCTGGATCATATGACTGCAGGAGGTCAACAACTGGTTGCATCTTCACCATTGATGGATTCACATGTAGCTGGGCTTCGTGACTCCAACAGATGGTGGCAAACAGTTCAGTAGAGGCCAAATATGTAGCATTAGTGACAGCAGCCAGGGAATTACTATGGGCCTCAATGTTCTTGCAGGAACTGGATCAACCAGTGTCAAAGACAACAGGGATACACATCAGTGCTGGAACATTGAGCATCTACTCCTATGATGGGGAACTCACCTTTGACCAAGATGTACTGGTCCTACATAGCAACTAATCAGGAACTTGGGCTATAGCAAATGACCCTCAACACTTCAAGAGGACGAAGCATATTGACATCACTCATTTCTTCCTGTGTGATGAGATTGTGAGCCAATGACTCACAATTGCTCCAGTTCAGAGTTGCAAAAACTTAGCCAACATTCTGATGAAGCCACTTGTGACACCAACACTCTTACACATCCAACAACTACTTGGATTGACCATTCTAGTGGGGTACATTGGATCGAGAGGGGGTGCTAAAGATAATGATCCAGTGAGATGCTAAAGGATGACATGGAGCTGATCTGGTCAGGGATCAGGCAGAGCCAATCTGGTTAGATGACTGATCTGATCAGAGATTTGGCCAAGTCAATCTCAGCAGAGATTGGGTGCAATGCAGTCCTGCTTGTTGTCATGGTAGATCATTGAGTAGTAGTACTCCCACCTTTGGCATGTGCTGCTCACTTGTATATATACCTCACAGAGAGCACTAGGCTCTCACCACATTTGTTCAGTCAATTTAGTATATGTTTCTGCCTTAAAAGAGTAGTGACATCATACTTAGACTATCCCCGATCACCAGTATTGGGACCCAAACGACGTCAACTTTCAACAATATATACTTAGAAAACATTCACCACAGCAATCCGAAACGCCGCAACTGCTTCTCACTGCTCGAACGCGCTCCAAGGACCTTTTCTTCAAAACCGATGTGCAGGCAGATTTCAATTTGGCATACGCACGCACGCAACCAACGCAACACTTTCTGAAGGCTGCCTGCACGCGCCAACTTGGCGTAGCGATGCACACCTTCCGAGCCTAACTTGTCCAAGAAGGAAATCCACACTAGAACCCCGCTTTGCCACGCTGTTGCTCTCCGACACGCTTGCTTTGAAGCACACTTGGTAGCCGAACGTTCTCCTCGACCCTTCATCGCTCTTGCTCTTCTTCAACCTTTAGGTCCCTTCTCTCCTCCATCATTTCTCTGAAGCCGCTCTCCAAGCTCAACAGCCAGTAAAAGCTGATCTCGGCCTCACTCTGAAGCGCTTACATCGTATCGGCTCCAAACTAGCTGCGATATTCTCGCCTCGATCGCATCCTTCCCGAATCGCTCTTACGATTGACAAATCCAAGATCGTATCCGACCTCGTTAGTCATCACGAAGTCTGGCCAGACTCAGCCTGCTCATATTAAATACACGCATTCTCATCTTTCGGGCGACCGTTTCAGCTCATCCTTTCAGGCCCTTTACAATCCAACAGCACACCTGGTCGACATCAAGCTCAGCATAGTGGATTCACAGCAGCTTGGGATTCGTATCGAAGACTGCGGAAACCTGTGATGTAAGTGCTGCAGACTCACTAACTACAAGTGACTTAACCAACGCCTCCATGCTGACCCTGACATCTCTTACTCAAATGAAATTTCCAGGTCTGGCAAAGGAGGGCAGCCGCTGCCCAAAGCAGGCGCCAGCCTGTCCGAGCGCATTGCGGCGCTGCAGAGGAAGACGTCAAATCCAGCAAGGTCCAACAACCTCTCCTCTCCGGCAACAGCATCTTCAGTCACCTCAGGTCGTCTCAGCCCAGGAGAGAGTCCATCACGCTCACCTTCCGGCAGCTCCAACGCCAACGCAGTGCGCGAGCGCATCGCCAAATTCCAGTCCAGCGATGAGAAGCCCGTCATGCCCAGAAGCTCTTTCGGATCACCAGCACCGAACCCAGAGATTCGCAATGCCCGGCGACAATTCCCAGGCGCCAGTGCTGGAAGAGGAACAGGTGCATGGGGAGAGGGTGTGTTGCGACCTCAGATGACCGGTGGTGTTTGGTTGGGAGCCGGTGCCGGCGGCGGCTGGGGTGATCCTTCTTCAGCGTCACTTCGTCCACAGATGACTGGAGGTGCTTTTTTGGGCAATGGTGCACCAAGGTCGTCAAGCTTTGGCGTTCCACGTCTGCAACGAGGAGCTTCTGATAACATTGTCCACGGTGGAGGCAGAGATGCTTTTGCCGAACTTGACGACGATCTGGTCTTGACAGGGCGCAATAGACCGGAGCCGCCAGCTTCGGAGGCGACCGATGACTTTGAAGCCAAAGGACAGCTTGCAAGCGGTGCCGTCTCCAATGCTCACGAAGATGGATTACCAAAACTACCAGACACACCGACGGCTGAGATTGATCTAGACAAGATTCACGCATCTTCGGGTCTTCCGGAGGCCCCAACTGTTGCTCCCATTCCAGAGTTCCCAGAGGCTCCTGCTTCCGAGCCAAAGCCATCAAACAAGATCAAAAATGCTTTTGAAAGCGCAAATGCAACCCCCGACACTTCCATCGAGATTGGCATCCATGGGCGATCGGCTGATGATGTGGAACGCATTCGACAACGGGCACAGGACTTGGAACTATCAGAGGATCAAAAGGATGCTGCAGATCGAGAGCCCTGGATCGCTTCGCCTCCCGCAGATCTGGCCGGAAAGGTGCCCTCGCCCATCGATACGAACGAGCTGCTCGCTGCACAGAGCCAGTCGACCAAGGATGAAGGACAAAAGCCATGGGTGCAAGGCTACGGAAAGCCCACGTTGGACCGTGACCTCGAAACAGCCGTACTTCAGAGGGGCACGCCGAGCAAGCTTCCTCTGGCCGAGTACTCGGCATCTGGGCCATTGCCACAGCGTGCTCAGGTAGAGAGAACAGACTCGGGCCGTGTGGACCCTCTAGACCCAGCAGCCCATCAGATCCGTGGGCCAGGCCTACTGGTGCCCCGTGATGAGGTTGCTGAAGCCAAAGAGCTTGGTCCAGATGCTGTGAAGGCTCCTCTAGCCTCCACCGCGAGTGTAGCCAGGCCCGCCGATGTCACACGATCCAATTCGAACGGACACTCGTCGCCACAGAACATAAATCCGTCTGCATCTGCAGCCGAGCAGGCAAAACAAGCTGTCTCCATGGGACGCACAAAGAGTCAGTCACAACGTCTACGACGTCCACCACCTGGAACGGTGCTGTCGGCCGCGGATCTGGATGCAAGTGACGACGAGTATGAACCAGGATGGGCCAGCGTCACCAGTGTCATGTCATCTTCCCGCTCTTAGATTATTGTCATAATCGTTGCAACATTGAACACTTCTTTCACGCACACTCGTTGTAAGATTGAGCAGTCTGTCAGACGTGATCAGCGAGAAGGTTGGCACTTGAAACCAGCAATGATGAGATTGTCATACGAAGCAACCAAAAGTACAACGATATGGCCCAATTTACAGAATGACGTCTGAGTATGTGTTTGTGTATGCATATCTTTCGCTTCAACCCAGCGACAGGCCGGTCATGTCCAGAAAACCCCTTTTCCAACGAACGAACGACACCTCAAAGACGGCTCGTAAGGTCCTGAGCATCGATACCCTCATAAGCGATCGAGTAGACAGCCTTGAAAAGCGGGTAGTCGTCGACCTTGCCTCTTGCCGCCAGCAACTCGTGCACCTCGCGCGCTGTCTCGGTACCCTGAAGCTTCTGACCATTAAGCAATTCCTTCTCGAGCTGATCGAATGGCTTGCCCGTCTTGACGAACGCCTCGGCGCACTTGCGATTCCTTCCACCCAAACAAGTGGTGATCAAATCCGCAACACCAGCTGAAGTCTCCGTGAACGTCTCTGGCTTGATCCCTTCAAAGAACTCCTCACTGAACCTCTTCATCTCCATCAACCCGATCCTCATCACTGCAGCTTTCGCATTATCACCCCAACCCAGACCATCCGTAAACCCAGCTGCAATAGCAACGATATTCTTCAACGCACCACAAAGACTGACACCTGCCACATCCTCAATGATTCCCACTTTGAACGTAGGCGTATCGAAAAGCTTGAAGAACAAATCAGCGTTCTCCCTACCCTTGGCATCAGCACGGTGTCCAATCGTCGTTTCCGAGAACTTATCCTGCGCTACCTCGTTCGCAATGTTCGCACCGGACAACGCAGAGCATGACACACCCAACGCCTCCTGAATCACATCTGAAAAGATCGAAATCTTCCCATCCTTCACCTCTACACCTTTGATCATCGAGATCGCATGCGCATCTGGCGAAATTTTACCTTGCAACTGCTTGCACACTCGCCGAATAAACTGGTGTGGCAGGACAAACACCAGCATCGTAGCGCCTTTTACCGCATCAATGGGGGAAGGGTTGGCAATGACATTCTCGGGCAACTTGCATCCGGGCAAGTATTTCGGGTTCTCATGAGTCTCGTTAATAACCTTGGAGAGAAGTTTGCCGTTGTAATCTTCTTCAAAGACGTACATCTGAACTTCGGATTCGAAGATGTCAGAGTGTCGTTGAGTGTTTTGACCTGCAATACGGGCGATAGCGGAACCCCAGTTGCCCGAACCGACAATAGCGACTTTGTGCTTCTTTTGCGAGCCTGAAGCTGCGGCGGAGGAGGAGGAGGAGGAAGTCATGACGGAGGCTGATCGGATGTTGTAGCGAGCAGATAAGGAGAGCAGTTGGAAGTAAGAAGAGCCGGAAGAAGAGATAGAGCGTGACCCTTCCAGTCGAACCTGACGAGGGGTGATGGTTCGAAGTGTCGACAGAATGGTGATAGTCCCGACAAGAATGTTATCGAATCTTCGAGGGGAGGGGAGGGCACCTATTCGAGGGGAAATGAAATGCGCACGCTTGATGACGTTGAATAAGGTTCACCCGCAGAATATGTGTGTGATGCCGCTTGTTTCTGCTTCGTAGTTGCTCTACCCAGGCAAGTCGAGACGGATGAGATGGTGGTGATCAGGAGAAGGAAATGATGCCAAGGCAAGCAAGCTGGTTAGCTGATTATTGATCGGTTGGTTTGAGGGAGCATCAGGTTCTCCAAGGGTTTCAGAACGGGAAATCAGTCAGCTGAGCACCAACCATCAAAATCGTTTCAGGTACGAAAGCGGATGCACCGAAGAACTGCCGCCGAAAAGAGAAATTGTGACTTTAGGGGGGCCGAAAAGAAGAAGAAAAAGGTCTAAAGTGGGGGAAGTCCAAATTTCCACCCCTTCAGAGTGGTAGACTGCCGCGTTGACCGCAAAAGGGCCAGAGGGTCAGGTGGAGGCTCGGGAGCGCCAAAAAGTCTTATCGTGCGAATGGATACATGCACATTTTTCAGTGGTGAGGAGGGATGGGCACGTGACCAACGTGCAGCACTCCATTTTGTCGCAACACTTTGAGCCATCTCGTCTCTCTTCCTTCTTCTCCATCACCTTCTCTTTTTTGTGCTTGCCTCTGGGCTGTGCTTTGTCAAATTTTACCCTCCCCCCTGCCCATTCTACAATACTTTTCACATCTCCCACACATCTGTTTTTAATACAGCTTTTCTTGTATTTTGTTCTTGTGCACATTAAGGGTTTCAGTTTTTTTGCCCTCAAAAACTAGAGTAATCCTATACTCAAAAAAGCTCAGGAAATTGATGCCCCCAAATGTAAGCTGTGTTTTTAGAGGGTTAATTTTTGAAGCTAACCAAGAGTTAGGGTAGTGTTGGCTGGAACATGAAGTGTAGCTCCATCATCTTTGATGCTCTTGTCACACAATTAAAGTATATACAGTCATTATTGACACTGTGGGTTCATGCAAAACAAGCTGTGCAGGAAAAGTGGAGGCATTCACATGAGTAGATCATGTGCAACATCACATGAGTGAAAACTCAGGTCCAATTTTGAAAACACTGCTGCATGAGTATTGCTGAAGCAGTGTTTTCAAAAACTAGAGCATTTGTCAAATTGGCACAGATTACATAGGCAATGAATATTGAACACAATTGAAAACTCAAAAAGAACTTGAGTTTTCAAAAATAAAAATAAAATTGAAACCCCCTAGTGTGTGTCAGAGGTTGTGCATGTCATGGGTGTAAGCAGTCACACACCTGAAACCAGATTGGGTGCTTCCGGTTGATTGTGGTGAGATCAATTGAATATGATCTATTTGGTATGTTTCAATTGAGAGTAACCAGATGGTTGAGTTCTGGTAGGTTTTGGCTGACTGCCTTGAACACTCTGTTCAGAGGCTATGCAGCACATCTGTAACATGTTGGTTTGGGAATGGTATAAGATACAACTCTCCTATTACAGCATGAGTGTTTGTAGTGCTTGATGCTCTTGTTGTCATCTGGACCACAATAAGACTATCACCTACAGATGACAGAGGTACTGGACCACAGGTGTTTAGACACCACCTTCAATAACTGGCTGGACCACAGATGTTGAGCAACACCACCTACAGTGATGAACTGGACCTCAGGTGTTGAGGAACACCACCTACAGTTATGAACTGGACTGCAGGTGTTGGGGAACACCACCTACAGTTGGCATCCAACAGTGATACAACACACAAGTACAAGATGTCATTGCAAAAGCTATGCTATTGCAATGATACAAGTCAAGTAAAGAGTAAGTAAGATAAAGAGTAGAGTGGATGAGGATCCACTCATATGCTTATGGCGAAGTTATTGTGGATTTCGACTGACCACTGGGGACACTCCACTCAGAGGAAGCTTGGCACAATCACTAGTTGATAAATACTTTGAGGTGACACCAGGGTCTAATGTGAATATGCTTGCACCAACATGAGTGTCCAGTGTGTTGGCTGAATGACTGATGATCCCTGGACTGCAGTGGACAACTGCCTTTGGTTCTAATGATCGAGAGAGCTGGACCACAGTATGAACTGCCTTTGGTGCCAATTGATATCTGGACCACAGAGTGAACTGCCTTTGGAAGGTGTCAAGTGGTGATACAACACATGCACTATGGTAGTAGCAATGCTCTGCAATTGCTATTGGTTACAAATCTACTAAATATACTTATTGTGAAGTTATAGCTAGTAATGTAAGGTGGAGAGTGGATGCCCCTCCACTCACTTGCTATGACAAGGGGCATGGTTATATATCCCCTCCCACAACATTGCCTGTGACACTGCTACTACTTGGGGAGGCCTCTTCATCACTGCTCCTTGCCCTTGCCCTTACTATCCTTTCCATCCACCTTGCAATGCTGTCCATTGGCACTGCTTCTCTTGCCTTGTGCAGATGGATGGCCCTCATGCTGCTTCATCATTGACAGGGGCCATTCCCACTTCATCTGGGTGGTGACTCATCCCCTCTCTTCATCTCACCTACCCTCCTGGTCTGAGTTCATCATTGGGTTGGCCCCCTGTTTCATCAGGGTGATGGACCCAATGCTTACAATGCCTTGTCCTGCTGTGAGGCTTGTGAGGATCAGCATGATCTTGCCAGCTTTGGGGAGATCTATCCTACAATCAAGATACTACCTATTTTGGTGGGATTCATGATACAATCCTGCTCATGCTGATTTGGGCAAAATCTGTCATAGAGCCCCTCTACTACAGATCTCGATGAACTCTGCTGTAACCCTTATTTTGCCTGATCCTGTGATTCTGTCATAGGGTTGGATGAGCAGAAGCAGGAAGAACAGATGTCATATGAGAGGAGCACAGGAATCATAGGATTGGGCAAAATAAGGGTTATGGCAGCATTCATTGAGATCTGTAGTAGAAGTGGTTTTATGACATATCTTGCCCAAATCTGCATAAGTGGGAGGTTACTAAGAATCCTGCTGAAATTGGTAGTATCTTAATCATAGGATAGATCCTGCTGGAGCTGGCAAGATCACACCAATCCTCACAAGTCTTACAGCAGGACAAGACATCATGGACAGTGGGTCCACCACCCTGATGAAACAGGGGGCTGATCCAACAATGAACTCAGAATATGAGGGTGGGCAAGATGAGAAAGGGAGGCAAGGCCACCCAGATGAAGTGGGGAGGGCCCCCTGTTGATGATGAAGCACCATGAAATTTGCCATCTGAATAAGGCAAGGGGAGCAATGTCAACAGACAGCAACATGAGGCAGATGGACAGGATAGGAGGGGTGAGGGGGAGGAGCAGTGTCAAAGAGGCCTCCCCAGGTAGGAGCAGTGTCACAGGCAACATTGCAGGAGTGGATATATAGCCATGATCCTAGTCATAGCAAGTGAGTGGATTGCGATCCACTTTACACCTTACATCACTAGTTATAGCTTCACAGAAAAGTATAGTCAGTATTCCATCAACAGTTGCAATTGCAGAGCATTGCATCTACATAGCACATGTGTTGTATCACCCTCATTGACAGCAATTGACATTCCAAAGGCTGTTCATACTGCGGTCTGGCTCTCTCAATCATTAGAACTGAAGGCAGTCATCCACTGTGGTCTGGGGATCACTGCAAGCACTCAGTCAACACACTGGACAATCATGTTGGCACCAACAACATTGATCACACCAGACCTTGGTATCATAGCAATACATCCATCATTATTGATCATGCCAAGCTACCTCTGGATGGAGTGTCCACAGCAGTCAGTTGAAACCTGCAATAGCAATCAATCTACCACATATTCAAGTGAGAAAAGTCATAGAGGCCTTCTAAAACAGATCTTGACCAAAATAATAATACATGGTATCTTACCACATATCTCAACAGGATCTGTAATAGAAGTGGTTCTACTACAGATATCAGGTTTCAGGTGCAAGACCCCTGACAGATTCCTGCACTCCTCTTCATATGACATCCATTCTTCCTGCTTCTGTGCATCCAGCCCTATGACACAAGCATGGCACTTGTGGCATGCAGCACTTGATGAGCAGCTGCAAACCATTGGTTTCCAGCACTGCCAAACAGAGCCATGTGTTTAAACTGGAATATTTTTCAAAATGGCAGAGCTTATGTAAGTAATGAATATTCAACACAAGTGAAAACTCAACAAAAATTGGAGTTTGTGAAGAAAAATAAAAATTGAAACCCCTAGTGACACGGCGCCAATATTTGCTGAGAGAAGCGATCCAATGTGATGATGCAAGTTGATGTAAGCCATTATGGAAGGAATCAGGGGAAACTGATCTGTATGGAAATGGAGTGAAGATAGATCAGATCAGAGATTGGGTACAACACAGTCCCACACATTGTCAAGCTGGATCATTAGGTGTAGCAACTCCCTGTCAGCGGTCGTGCGCCTGAAACCTGAGATCGGTAGTAGTATCGATACTATTACCGATTCTGTTGAGTTATGCGATAATGCTAGTGGTATTTCGATTCTTAGGGAAATATGCAATAGAGCCATCTCTATCACTTTTCTTGTTCGAATCTGTAGTTGTAGTACTGCTATTGCAGATTTCGACTAACTGCTGTCAGACACTCCATCCAGAGGTAGCTTGGCATGATCAATAACGATGTGAACTGGTACTGACACCAAGGTCTGGTGTGGGAGTGATTGTTGGTGGTGCTGACATGAGTGTCCAGTGTGTCGACTGTTGCTTGAGGTGATTCCCAGACCACAGTGGATGACTGCCTTTGGTTCTATCTAATCTGGACTGCTGGTTTGCTATGAACCACCTTTGGACATCAGTGAGTGGTGATGCAACACATGCACTACAATGAGGAGCAATCTATTGATTACTACTATGCTGACTGAAAACTAATGTACTTATGCTTCTGAAGTAATACTAGTTTATATGGTGTGTAGAGTGGATGATCCTCCACTCAACCATTTGCAATGAGAAGGTATGGTTATATACCTCTTTGCAGTGTTGCCAGCGACACTGCTCCTGCTCTCTCTCCAGAGAGTACCTTCTGCATCGAGTACTATGCAGGAGTCTCCAACGAGACTCCTCCTCATCATGCCCTGTCACTCCTATCCTTCCTGAGCTGTGTCGACTTCATCAACACTGCTCCTCCTCCTCATGTCCATCTTGCTGGTGCCCCTTACACAGCTCTCCTTCCTTGACTGGCAATGGTCCTCCTTTGCTCCCATCTTGTGTGCCCCTGAGTGGTAACCAACTGCATGTCACTGAGCTTGGTCCCTTTCTTGGCAAGGCTTGGTCCTTGGCCCAGTAGAGCTTGGTCCCCTTCATATGAGAGCTGTGGTGCATTCTGCATGTGAATTGTCATACAGACATCCTTGTCACTGATCTCTGTGGAATCTGCCACACAATCGTGCTTGCTGCAGATTCTGGCAGGATTCGTGATATCAATGATGCTTGTGCCAATTTCGCTGCGATCTGCCATAGAGCTGATTCTACTGCTGATCTTGGTGAACTCTGTTGCAGCTCCTACAATCTACCTGATCCCACAATTCCTGTGCTACCTTCATATGAACTTCGGTCTTTCCTCGTTCTGCGCACCCAGGCCCATGACACTCCCACATTCAGCATGTGCCACCCATGTGTATATATATCAAGCCAGGAGCACCAGGCTCCCACCATGTTCACTTTAGTCAATTGAGTATTTATGTTTCTGTCTTTTCGCAGCAGTGACATCGTACTTAGACTCTCCCCGATCGCCAGTATCGGGACCTAAACTCTAACAATATTTATCATCTAAGGATTGCTTGAGAGTCCCGATCAATATTATGAAGATTCTTCCTGAAGAGACAGCAAACCACCTCTTCACTATGTTGTCCCTTCGAGATGCCCTGAGAGCATCGATCTGTCCGAAAGGTGCACTTTCCGAACATGAAAAGAGACGGCAAACACTACACACAGACGACAAGATTGATCATGATGCAAGAGCTTGATTTCATCGTCATCATCCCAAAACGCTGTGAAAGGTGGGAAACGAATGTACCCAGAGTGAAAGTGAAAGTAGACTCGGTGCTTGGACAGTGAAAGCCATTGTGTACAGAATTGCTCTGACAGACCATCGCCGTGAGTAAGCATGGGATTCGCCCTCCGCCCCGTAGAGTAGGAGAGTATTGGTCTTGCACCTTTCCGTAAACCATTCGGCCTAGTACTGAAATTGCTTCAGCGACGCCGAACAGTAAATAATTAAAGTGCGCTGTGTGTTGAGCTTGCGATAGCAGAGGCTGATAGATGTGAGCTCAGATTGGGGGAGGATGGACTGAGGAAATCGAGCCAAGGGGGGAGAGAGGAGCTTCATTTGGTGGGGATCACTGGTTCGGCCTGGTTGGTGAGAGCAAGTTGGATACAATGTACGGAGAGTCTGGTCGGCATAGAGGTTTGTGGCCAGCGATATGCGCAAAACAAGGCTTGGTACTCCCCATCCATCGATGGACGATGCAGAAGAGCTGGTGATGGTTGTGGTAGAGAAGGAAAAGTGCAGAAGTTACCAACCGGCTGTCGTGAAATTTGAAGCAACGCGCTCTCGTCCTCTCCTTTTTTCCTCGATCCTCATCCAATCAAATCACAACTTCATCATGACTTCAATTGGTCTTCAAGATCGCCGGCTCATATCAACAGGTTGGAGGCAGGAGCCCGGGACACAACTGCAAGCATGAGACGCCTATTCTCACTGCAAAACTGTGATCAGAGCCAACGAGCATTTTTGAGCACAACAGAACGATATGAGGATGTGAAGAGTGCATTGCAGTACGTGACAGAGTGATACATGGGTGGAAGCTGGAACTACTGGTAGAAATCCATCTTCGAGTCGTCCGGCTTCTTGACGATCTGCTTCCACGCTTCCTCGAAGTCCTCGGGCATGATGACGTATCGGTTCTTGCGCACAGCCTGCAAACCTGCCGCCTGGCAAATACTGGCGATCTCGGCGCTGGAAAGCTTGTCGGGTCGCCCAACGTAGTCCTCGAGGTCGACCTCTGGACTCAAGTTCATCTTGCCGCAGATGGTCTGGAAAATAAGACGCTTCTCACGACGTGATGGTGTTGGGAATTCAATCTTTCGATCCAACCGACCGGGTCGAAGAAGCGCTGGGTCGAGTGTGTCTGCTCGGTTGGTTGCCATGATGACCTTGACGTTGCTGCCTTGGTCGAAACCGTCCATCTGGTTGAGCAATTCGAGCAAGATACGCTGCACTTCACGATCCGCACCGGTCTGTGCGTCGAAACGCTTTGTCGCAATGGCGTCGATCTCGTCGATGAAGATGATGGCGGGTGCATTTTCGCGCGCAAGTCGGAAAACATCTCGTACCATTCTTGGACCTTCACCAAGATACTTCTGTACAAACTCGGAACCAACAACACGGATGAAGCTGGCAGTGGTGGCGTTGGCAACGGCCTTGACCAACATGGTCTTTCCTGTACCGGGAGGTCCGTAGAGCAATACACCGCGTGGTGGGTCGATACCGATCTGGCGATATAAGTCGAACTGTGCCAATGGCAACTCTACAGCTTCTCGGATCTCCTGCTTCTGAATGTCCATACCACCGATGTCCTGGTAGGTCTCGGTCGGCTTCTCGTCCTGACCCAGCATAGCGATGGATGAGTCTGCCTCAGGTGGCAGCACATCAACCAAAGCATTCGAGTGACGGTGTAGTGCAACACTGGAGCTGGCTTTGAGCAGCTCGCGGTCGATTGTGGAAAGAATTCGGACAACGTAATTGGATCCGGTGGTGGAACCGACGATGCCGGTGTGTTGGTCGATGGGCTCGAGAAATTGACCAATGACGAGTGGCACTGACTGAATGCGCTTGACCTCCTCTTGCGCCCTTACAAGCTCGCGTTTCAGATTTCGTTGCTCGTCCTTGACGTACTCTTCCATAGTGTTGAGAAACTCAAGGTGTTGTTGTAACTTTTTGTATCGAAGATATGTGTCCTCCTCTGCTTGCATCTCCTGGTGAATTGCAGCCTTCTCTGCAGCTGCATCTTCGAGCGTTGGCTCAGTGCGCTTGAGCGAAGCGATTCCAATCTCCTCCATGATATATGTTGCTTTTAGCGCTATTCAGTGCGCTTGCCTGATCCGGTTGAAGGCTTGTCCTTACTTTCGGAACTACGTTCTCCTCGTTTCAATCGTTGAAAAGGTTCCCGCGGGCCAGTGAACGCGCTAGATGATATGCAGAGAGTGTAGTGGAGGGTTGAAAGGTATAGAAGGGGTGATGCGAGAAGTTTGTGAGAGGTGATGAGCAACGATGGCAAACAAGTAACGCTGCGTGGTCAAAGCTGGGAATTCTAGACGCGCAAGTGGAACAACACCCTCACACACAGGCGAGCAACCGTGATCGAAGCGCGCTCCACATTTTCGAATCGGCTCAAAATCGGGTTGAGTCGCAGCAGATCCTCCTAAGAAAAAGGGCATGCGTGGCAGAAAGGAGAAAGTTGGAATTCAGCTGAGTCGGATTGGGCAATCGGCACGTTTTCTCCCGGCTTCTCTGCGAGTGTGCTCAGCAGCCACTGTGGCCACGGTTTTTCAACAAGGATTAGATCGAGACAACTTCAGCATCATCCACCATCACAACTTGCTTCTACTTTAGCAACTCATATCACGTATACTCACAACATGCCTCGTTCAAGTGGACGATCCTCTGGCGGCCGCCCCGCCCCTTCGCGCTCTGGCCTATCGGGCTCGCGAGGTGCTCACACCATGGCCGCCCCGCAACAGCAGCAGCACCAGCAGCCTCCTCAGGCATACACACAACAGCAGCCCGCTATGGCACAGCAGTCGCCTGGTCCCGGTCTCTTCGGTCAGATGGCCTCCACCGCCGCTGGTGTCGCTGTCGGCTCGACCATGGGTCACGGTCTCTCCAACATGCTTTTCGGTGGTAGCGGCTCTGCCCCTGCTGAGGCTCAGCAGGCACCACCCCAGGCTTACGACCAGGGCGCCTACGCCGGTCAGCAGCAGCAGAACATGGGTGTCAGCTGCGAGCAGCAGAGCAAAGACTTCATCAAGTGTCTCGAGAGCAGTAAGTGTCACAACGCAGATGGATTTGATGCTCCACATGGGGGCCCTCCCTTACTGACCTTCAAACTCCTTCCACCTTTGCTTTTGACAGCCAACGACATGAACTCGTGCTCGTACTACCTCGAGCAGCTCAAGGCTTGCCAGGCCGCTGCCCGGCCTTACTGATCTCCGGAATGTCAGCCGTGGAAACCGTGTATCTTCAATTATAACCCAGCATAATCATTAGATCAATCCAGCGTCTCCATTCTACACAGGGTCATGATGAGTGCAGATTCGATTTGTGCGATCATAGGATATTAGATACAGTAGGACTACAGATGAGCTTGGTGATGGGGATTGCTTTGCAAATGCAATGACAACAAGTACAACGTGATAACAAGATGATGCAACCGACAGATGCAAACGATGACCGGAGTTGTGACGACCGAGAATGCGGGTGTGACAGACGACGTGTCAATTTGAACGTCATGAGGACAAGTGAAGCAGTGATGAGTTGCGGCGCATCCTATGGATCCTCGTCGCCGAGACGACCAAAGCTGAAGCCTTCGTCTTCGTGACGCGGGCCAAGATGAGGATCCTCGTCTTCTTCGTCGTCAGGCATATCGTGGAGAGCAGCATTGTCTTGATCACGGTCGCCGCCTTCGAGTGCAGCATCATGCTCAGGACCAGAGTCAAGGTTGCGGGCCAAGGGTCCACCTGCGCGCAAAGCTTTTGGTGGCGAGACAGAATGAGGTGAAGAGAACTTGCGCATGGAGCCGGAACAGGAAGAGATCGACTTGCGTCCCAATTTGTGAGCTGCTCCACTGGGCACACCCAGCGAGGCTTTGTCACGCGGCGCTGCTGCACTCTTGAGCCGTGACTCTTCCATCCTGCGTTCACGTTCGCGCTCTGCGAGTATCGCCGCGTTCTGAATAGCAATGGATTGCTCAAAGCCCATGGCCTGGACCTTTCGACCAGGTTGAAAAGCACCAGATGACTGTGCCAGCTTCTTCTTGACCGCAACGGTGTCTCGAGACCAGCCAAATGCTTCCAAGGGAGGACTGGTGCCGAGATTGGATGCTTCGTGCACGGACAAGCCGAGCAAGGCGGACTCAAGCTCAGCCTCCTTGGATGGATCGCTGAGTTGTACCGTTGTGATGCCATCATTGACTTCACGCATGGCACGGAGTGAGCGGATAGCGTCACGGAGGATTTCCGTCTCTGCTCGAAGTCGGTCCTTGGTAGGCGTCGGTGTTGCCTCTAGTGTCGAGAGGATGCGTTCATTTCGATCAAGTCTCTGCTCGAGCTCGAACTCAGAGCAGAGATGGATGGGTTTCTGGACGGCCGCCGAGTTGCGAGACGTTCTTGGAATGAATGCAAGTGAAGCTGCGCGATTCGATACGGACGAGTTGCGGATGCCACTTGGCACACTGTTTGTAGTAGGGAAACTTGTGCGAGACTGAGGCGACTTAACAGATGGACGAGAGCTGCCAACGATGCCGGCAAAGCCGGTGGTCGTCGGCACCCTTGGAGAGGGGGGGGATAGGTGCTCGACCTTGACATGGTTCGGAGAGAAGGTAGAGCTTTCCACCTTGAGCTTAGCGGGAAGCGAGATGGACAGATTGGAGGTGTCGCCTCGCAAAGGCTGCTTTGAGCCGGTGGGAAGCAAAAGTCCGTTCATACAAGGACTGTATATGGTGGAGGAGGAGCTAATGACCGATTATATGGGAAGAAGGAGGTGTCGATCAGTCTTCTGTCCAGTGGCATGTTCCGAAGCTGGGATGATCGAGTTTGAGGTACCTCCGCGAGCTGCTTGGGTTAGACCGAGGCAGGTGGTTGAAAGCTGGCGCAAAAAGTTGCAGAACGTAGGCGAAGACTCGCAGGAGAAGTCGGCAGAGAGACCTTAAGCAATGGATATGAACTGTGCCAGCTAGAAGAATACGCGAGGATGTGAGAGTGCGAGGAGCTGCTTGATATGAGCTGTCGGAAGTGCCGGATAAATGCTTGCTGCGGCGGAGAGATGCGGAGAATATAGAGCTGCCAAGTACGAGTGCTGAATATGCAGGAGAGGAGCGCTTTGAGCTTGCGAATGAAAAACGAACAAGGGTCTGAATAAAAAAAAGAGAGCGAGCGAGTAACTATGTGTGTGGAAAGCAAGAAAGGTGCAAAATGTCAAGTGAAGCTTGGCTTTAAACGAGACAAAATGGGCAGAAATATCACACTCGCACTCACGCACGACCGCGGCCCCACAGCGAAAGACGAACACAAGCGCCACACACTACAGTAAGACTGTGAGTGACAATATAGTCGTGCCGCTCTGGTACAGCACAGTTGGTCCGAGTGACAGAGTGACTAGACTCTCAGACGCCAATGGCTTCACACGCACAAGCCATCGACAAAGAGCCATCTCACGAAGCACAAACAGGCCGCAGATTAGGGGTTGCAAATGCCTTAAAGTGAAGATGGAAGCACCGAGCAAAATGCTCGAAATCACCAGGGCCACAGTTCATATTTTGTCCCATCTGTGTCGTCACAGCCTGGGCGTGGCATGAACGTTGCTGTCCGACGAGCGGCTTCTGCACAGAGATGAAGACCGCTGTGATGTCGAGCTCTGTTAGTCGTCGTTGTTGTTGTTGTTTTCCTTGTGCCTGAGCGACAATCCAATCTCACATGCTCCACCACGGAGAGCTTACTTCCTTGCTGAAAAGCTTCTCGTGTGTCAGGCATATGAGCTGTGCTTCTTGCTGATCTCACCATTGCACTCGCAGACGTCGGCACATATCTTTCCAGTGCTCTTATCATCGTATGCCTGTGAACGTCTGAAGGTGCACTTTAGGTTTCAGTGTTCATTTTTGGTGCCTTTGATTCGTGCATTGCTTTTTCAGCCATCCCCACTTTTTATTTTATTTTTATTTTTATTTTTTTTCTTTCTAATTTCGTCAACGAAGCCAATTCAGGGTCTTCGTCAAGAGCAACGAAGCACGGGCCAACGCTCGACTGCCAACTGCAGTCCACAGCCTCAATTCGTGACTATTCCGGAAGCCGGGTGTCACACGCACACTCATTTGCACCTACACATCACCTTTTCACTGCAAAAAGCCACGACTCGTCCAAAAGGGCGGAGACAGAGGCTACTTCTGATGCGACAGAGTGGAGGTCCATCTACCGAAAGAGGACATGTTCATCAAGCCCATGAAAGAGTGATGACCATCGTTTAAGCACGACAAGCTGAAGGGAGTTGAAGCATGTGACACCTCGGAGTAGTTGCATGCAGCATCTCGGAGTATGCAACTTCTACTCCAAGGTCACATCCAATTGCCAGCCTTGCTCACTTGGGTTTAATGCAATACCTGGATTGATTGTCAGACATCAAGACACCAGTCAGTAAGTAGCCAGTGTAACCTCACTATAGCACTCACTCATGTTTTTGACCTCACTATGCTAGACATCATATATGCATATGAAGAACATTGATAAGTATATAAACAGTCACACCATCCTGTAGATAGCATGCATTATCATCACAATTAAAAGCTGTGATCATTGACTTTGACACAAGATTTGATTGACTCAGAATGACACCCTTCAACTGATTAAGGGTCTGACTACTCTTGACCGTACTGTCATAGGACCGGAAGCGCAGGAAGATCTAGAATCATCTGAAGAGTGGCACAGGAATCATGGAATCAGGCCAAATGAGAGTCTACAGCAGAGTTAACCGATATTGGTAGTAGGGAAGGTTTATGACAGGTCTCTGCCAAATTGGTAGTAGAGATGGGTTACAACAGGTCCCAGCCAAATTGGTAGTAGAGATGGATTATGGCAGGTATCAGCTGAATCAGCACAAGTGGGACTTTATGGCAACACCTGCTGGAGCCAGTAGTATCATAATCATATGGCAGATCCCACAGAAGATTGGTAGGAGGATGATGGTAATGTGGATCACACGATAAAGATTAGTGGCAAGGACATCTGAGGTCACCACCAGATGAGGTAGGGGCCCTACATGACAATGAAATCGGCATAAGGAGATGGGTGCCAGAGTCAGGAGGTAGATGAAAGAGGGGGGGGGGTGCACTGCCACTAGGATGAAGTGGGGCAACCCCTATCAACAATGAGATGGTGCTGGCTCTCCTCAACCCAGGAGCAGGAGAAGCAGGGGCCAGCAAGGAGGAGACACCTCAGTAGAGACCTCTACCACAGTGCTCAACAAAGAGGGTACTCTCTGGAGAGAGAGCTGGAGCAGAGTCACAGGTGACATTGCAAAGATGTATATGACCATACCTTCTCATCCTAAGTGGTCAAGTGGATCCCCATCCACTCTACACCATACATAACTAATTATCACTTCAGCATAAGTATACTTAGTTTCAGTCAGCAAGTTGCAATCATAATAGATTGCTTCCATTGTAGTGCATGTGTCATATCACCACTCACTGACATCCAAAGGTGGTTCATAGAAACCTGTGGTCCAGATAATGATTGACACCGAAGGCAGTTCATAGTAACCAGTGGTCCAGCTCACAATCATAGAACCAAAGGCAGTCGTCCAATGTGGTCTGGGGATCACTTCAAGCACTCAGTCGACACACTGGACACTCGTGTCGGCGCCAACCACATCATCCATGTCATGGGGCCAGATGCGCAGGAAGCAAGAAGACCCGAATTTATATGAAGAAGAGCACAGGAATCACAGGATTGGGCTAAGTGGAAGCTTATGGCAGAGTTCACCAAGATCTGTAGTAGAAACAGCTCTATGACAGTTCCCAACCAATTCAGTACAAATGGGGAGGTTATGGCAAAACCTGCTGGAATCTGTAGTATCACAATTGTATGACAGATCCCACATGGGAGATGCCAATCTCATGAATCTCACCACAAGACAGATGTCAATACCATGAGTGGGTGGCAAAGACATCTGGGTCTGCCATCAATGAAGCAGGGGACCTGCTTGGAAATGAACCCCAAGTGGGTAGATGGGAGGAATGAAAGGGGGTGCAAATTGCTGCTCAGATGAGGTGGGAATGGCCCCTGTTGATGATGAAATGACAAGAGGACTGTCCATCCACAAGAAGCAAGAGACACAGTGCTGGCAAGCAGCAGCACAGGATGGACAGAGGGGATGGGAATGATGAGGAGGAGGGGCAGTGTTGGAGAGGCATGCCAAATCAAAGGCAGAGTTGCAGGCAACACTGTGAGAATGGTTATATAGCATCACTCCTTGTCAAAGCTGTTGAGTGGATCCAGTATCCACTTTACACCATACACAACTAGTTATCACTTCAGCATAAGTATACTTAGTTTCAGTCAGCAAGTTGCAATCCCAAGTAGATTGCTTCCATTGTAGCATGTGTGTTGTATCACTGCTCACATCCGAAGGTGGTTCATAGTAACCAGTGGTCTGGATAGCGATTAGAACCGAAGACAGTTGTCCACTGCAGTCAGGGGATCACTTCAAGCACTCAGTTGACACACTGGACACTTGTGTTGGCATCAACAACATCATTCACACCATATCTTGGTGTCTTCACAATACATTCATTGTTATTGATCATGCTGAGCTACCTCTGGATGGAGTGTCCACAGTGGTCAGTCGAAACCTGTAATAGCAAACACACTACTACATCTTAGAGCAAGAAAAGTCATAGAGGCTTTTCTATGACATATCTCAACCAGAATAATAATACACAGCATGCTACCCCTTATCTTGACAGGACCTGTAATAGATGTGGTCCTATTACAGATATCAGGTTTCAGGCACGAGACCCCTGACACGTACGATCCTTGACACCATGCCTCTGCAACCCAACAACCTGCATACTGCCAATGACCCTTCACTCAAGGAGTCCTCTGGTGATCAGGCCGAAACGATCCCAGCACCTGAAGACTACCAGGGGACTGCTGGACACAACACTTCCTCCTCTGACAATTCTGACAGTGACAACAGCAAAACAAGCAAACCTCTGCTTGATCTCAATGATATCAACAAAATGAATATCAACACCCTCCATAACATGCTCACACAGTCCACCTTATGTAAATGAGCCAAAATCTCCTCATACAAGTTGCCCTCCAAGCACTGTGCCTTCCTCCATGAAGTGACACAACTTAACAATGCACTGAAAGACACCCCCAAGCTAACCACAAAGAACTGGTACACCTGGAATCCTCACTTCCAGGACATTCTGATCACCTGGTCCCTGGCTCCCAAACACCTGGATGGTATCACTAAGCCAGGTGACAGGAAGTATGACAGGAGATTAGATGCAAAACTTTGCACAATTCTTCAAAGTAATGCTAAACTCATTGGCCAGGATAATGTTAACTATCTGTGCATGCAACCTGCCAATGCTGAAGCCTGGTGACTGAATTAACTGTATAACTGACTCAAGAAGGACCTAACCAAGATGGAACACATTGCTGAATCAACTCTTCTATATGAAGCTGGCAAGATTCACATGTTCAATGCAGATGTCTGCAAACTCTCCAATGACATCAATGAACACTGGGCCAAGGCCGAAACTATAGGATATAACCTGACAAGGGTCCTCAAGATCAAAACCTGTCAGCGGTCATGCGCCTGAAACCCGAAATCTGTAGTAAAAGGCAGTCACAATTATTCTCAGCGAGATCTGTAGTAAAAGCCTCCTAATTGTCAGGGGTCTCGTGCCTGAAACCTGATATCTGTAGTAGAAATGTGTCTACTATAGATCTTATCAAGATATGTGGTAAAGTGCCATGTATTATTAGTCTTGTTGAGAACTGTTGTAGAAGGCCTCTATGACTCCTCTCACTTGAATCTGTAATAGCTTGTTTGTTATTGCAGGTTTTGACTGACTGCTATGGACACTCTGTCCAGAGGTAGCTTGGCATGATCAATAACTGTAGTTGTGTGGTGAGCACCAAGGTCTGATGCTGGTGAAGTGTTGATGCTGACACAAGTGTCCAGTGTGTAAACTGAGTGCTTGAAGTGATCCCTGGACCACAGTGGATGACTGCCTTTGGTTCTATTATTGAGAGAGCCAGCCCACAGTATGAACCACCTTTGGTGTCAATTGATATCCAGACTGCAGTTAATACTGCCTTCAGATGATGTCAATGAGCAGTGATACTACACATGCACTATGATAGGAGCAATGTCTTGCAATTGTTACTGTTGATGAACTACTAAGTATACTTATGTGAAAGTTTTAGCTAGTATGACATGGTGTAGAGTGGATGGATCTCCACTTGACTACCATGACGAGAAGGTATGACTATATATAACATCTTTGCAGTGTTGCCTGCGACTCTGCTCCAACTCCCTCTCCAGGAAATACCTTCTTTGTCAAGTACTGTATCAGGGTTTCTGCTGTTGTGTCTCTTCCTTGTCAGCCCCTGCTTTTCCTGCTCTTGAGTCATGGGGAGTCAACACCACCTCATCATTGATAGGGGTTGCCCCCACTTCATCCAAGTGGACAACACCCCTCCTTTCATCATGCTCTCCTGACAATAGGGCCCACCCTTTTTATGCCACTGTCAGGGGTCTCGCGCCTGGAACCCAGGTCGGTCTGTCGAGATACTCGGTGACTATCAAACTGTGCGACAGCTATTGTCTCGATATCGGTGACTATCAAGTTGTGCAGTGACAGCAGGTGGCATCCGTTGTATACACTATCGTAGGTTTCGGCTGACCTCTGTGGACACTCCATTCAGGGGTAGCTCGGCATGATCAATATCAATGTTATGATGACACCAAGGTCTGGTGTGAGTGTTGATGATGATGAGGTTGATGGTGTTGGTGATGAGATTGGTGATGTCGATGATAATGAGGTTGATGGTGTTGGTGATAAGGTTGGTGGCATCAACACGAGTGTCCAGTGTGTTGACTTGATGCTTGAAGTGATCCCCAGACTGCAGTGGACTACTGCCTTCGGTTCTATCTTGATCCGGACCGCTAACCTGCTATGGGCGCCTTCGGACATCAGGTAGTGGTGATACAACACACACACTACGATGAGGAGCAACCTTTGATGGATTGCTGCTATGCTGACTGAAACTAATATATACTTATGCTGAAGTGATAACTAGTTATGGTGAGTAGAGTGGATGAGGATCCACTCGACCTATGATGATGAGAAAGCATGGTTATATACCTCTTCTCAGCATCGCCAGCGATGCTGCTCCTGCTCTCTCTCCAGAGAGTACCTTCTTCATCGAGTACTGCTCAGGGGCCTCTCCTGCTTGGCACCCCTGTGCCTCTTGAGCTGTGTCGACTCCTTCGACACTGCTCCTCCTCTTCATGACCTGGTGTCAACTCCTTCGACACTGCTCCTCCTCCTCATGACCTGGTGTCGACTCCTTCGACACTGCTCCTCCTCCTTTGATCAGTGACAGTTCCTTTGGCTCTTGTCTCTCGAGCCCCTGAGTGGTAACCATCTGCACGCTCCTTGAGCTTGGTCCTCTTCGTGGCTGTGCCTGCTCCTTGAGCTTGGTCCTCCTCGTGGCTGTGCTTGGCCCTCCTTTGCATGTGAGTCCATAGGAGTCCATGGTCTCCATGGAGACTGCACTACGACCATGCTCTCTACTGATCTCGACTAGATCTTCGATACCTGTGCTCCTTCCATATGAACCCGTGACCCTCCTGCTTCTTGAGCATCCAGGCCCATGACAGCCACCTTCATCGTCATATAGGGTCCCTACTTCATTGGATGTTGAGCCCCTTCCTTATCAGCTGCCCATTGTCATGAGATCAGTGATAGATGCATCCTCAAGCCAATCTCCATGAAATCTGTCATTACAAGTGCAGTCCTACAGATCTTGATGAACTCTGTAATAAGACTCTGCTTCTGCCAATCTTGATGAGTTCTGTCATAGAGCCCAGGATCCTACCAATCGTGCTGAACCCTGTCAGAACTCTCATTTGTCCTGATTCATGATTGCTGCACCTAGTTCCTTCATATGAAACACGTCATTCCTGCGCATGCTTCCGGCCCCATGACACTAATATTGTTCCTGCTCGAATCTGTCATAGAAGCCTTCTATGACTGTTCTTCCTTTTATATGTCGTAACTTGAAAGGTATCACAGGTTTCGACTGACCAGTGGGGACACTTCATCAAGAGGTAGCTCAGCACAATCAATAACCAATAGGTATGTTGAGGTGACACCAAGGTCTGGTGTGAGTTTGCTTGTGCCAACATGAGTGTCCAGTGTGCTGACTGAGTGACTGAATGATCCCAGGACCACAATGGACAACTGCCTTTGGTTTCTAGTGATCGAGAGAGCCAGACCACAGTATGAACTGCCTTTGGTGTCAATTGATATCTGGACCACAGTTGATACCACCTTTGGATGATGTCAACGAGTGGTGATACAACACACATGCTACAATAGAAGCAATGCTCTGCAATTGCAACTGTTGACAGAATACTAACTATACTTTCTTTGAAGCTATAACTAGTAATATAAAGTGTAGAGTGGATGGGGATCCACTCAACTACTATGATGAGGAGCAAGTGTGTGTTATATAGATTGTCAGAGGTCGCATGCCCAAAACCTGATATCTGTAATAGAACCATGTCTATTATGAATTCCATCAAGATATGCAACAATACTTGTGGTATTATGATTCTTGGCAAGATATGTAGTAGAGATGTCTCTATCACTTTTCTTGCTCAAAGATGCAGTAATGGTTTTGCTATTGCAGGTTTTGACTAACTGCTGTGGACACTCCATCCAGAGGTAGCTTGGCATGATCAATAACTTGAATGTATTGCATGACACCAAGAGTCTGGTGTGAGTGAGAAGATTGGTAGCACTGACATGAGTGTCCAGTGTGTCAACTGAATGCTTGAGGTGATCCCTGGACCACAGTGGACAACTGCCTTTGGTTCTATGATCACGAGCCAGACCACAGGTTGCTATGAACTGCCTTTGGTGTCAATTGTATCTGGACTGCTGGTTCTATGAACCACCTTCAGATGTCAGTGAGCAGTGATATGACACATGCACTACAATGGAAGCAATCTACTTGTTATTGCAACTATGCTGACTGAAAACTAATGTATACTTGTTGAAGTGATAACTAGTTTATGGTGTAGAGTGGATGGCGATCCACTCCTCTATTATGATGGGAAGCATGGTTATATACTTTTCTCGCCATGCCACGGGCAGCACTTCTCCTCCTCCTCCTCCTCCCTGCTATCCTCCCCATCCATTCCTGTGATGCCACTCGTTGGCACCACTTCCCTCGCCTCCTGTGGATGGACGACTCTCCTGCTGTCTCATCTCTGTTAGGGGTCAGTCCCACTTCATCTGAGTGGCGACTTGCACCCCCCTCTCATCACTCTCTTGTCATCGGCACCCACCTGCTGGCACCGACTTCATCATCGTGCCAGGCCCCTGCTTCATCTGGTGGTGTCCCCCCTCTGTGCAGTGTCTTCCCCTCATCCTATCGGCGATGGGGTGCCTCTCTGACTGATTCTTGTGAGATCTGTCCTACCCAGCATGATATTGTGATTCCCACCAAACTCTGTAGTAATGACATCATTCCTACAGATCCTACTGAGTTATGCCATAGGAATGTTTCTACTACTGATCTCAGCAAATTCTTCCTTAAGCTTTTGTTTAGCCCAATCCTGCGATTTCTGCACTCCTTCATATGACTTCCATCTTCGGGCTACCTGCGCCTCTGGTCCCATGACATAGATGTCCTTGCCGTATCGCCGGCAACACCGCTCGTACCCTATGTGATCTCCTCCTACACTGCTCCTCCTCCTCTAGACGCTCCCTCCTAGCAGCCCTGCCTGCCTTTCCACTTGTTGGCACTGCTTCTCTCGCTTCTTGCAGATGGAGAGTCCTCATGCTACTTCATTACCTGATAGGGGCCCTCCCCACTTCATCTGGGTGGCAACTTGTACCCCCTTTTCATCTTGCCCAACCTCCTGCTCTGTGTTCATTGTTGAGTTGGCCCCCTGCTTCATCAGAGTGGTGAACCCAATGCCTTCAACATCTGTCTTGTTACAAGATCTGTGAGAATGGTGTCCCCCACAAGATCTGTCATACAATCATGATACCACAGATTCCAGTGGGTTTTGCTGTAAGATCCCACTTATACTGGTTTGGACAAAATCTGTTGTAGATCCCTTCTACTACAGATCTCGATGAACTCTGCTGTAAACCCTTGCTTTGCCCGATCCTGTGATTCCTGCACTCTGTCAGAGGTCTCGCGCCTGAAACCTGATACCTGTAATAGAAACACGTCTATTACAGATCCTGTCGAGATATGTGGTAGAGTGCTTTCTATTACTGTTCTTGTTGAGATCTGTCATAGAAGGCCTCTATGACTTTTCTCATCTGAAGATGTGATAAGGTGATTGTTATTGCAGGTTTCAACTAACCACTGTGGACACTCTGTCCAGAGGTAGCTTGGCACAATCAATAATGATAGATGTATTGTGAAGACACCAAGGTCTGATGTGAATGATGTTGTTGACACTGACACAAGTGTCTAGTGTGTTGACTGAGTGCTTGAGGTGATCCCCAGACTGCACTGGACAACTGCCTTCAGTTCTAATGATTGAGAGAACCAGACCCCAGTATGAACCACCTTTGGTGTTGATCAATGTCAATGAGTGGTGATACAACACATGTGCTACATAGGAGCAATGTCTTACAATTGCTGCTGTTGACAAACTACTAAATATACTTATGTGGAAGTTATAGCTAGTATGATATGGTGTAGAGTGGATAGTGATCCACTCAACGACTATGATGAGGAGTGAGGTTATATACCCTTTGTGCAATGTCTTCTGCAACACTGCCTTCACCCTGGCACGCCTCTTCTCAACACTCCTCCTCCTCCTCTGGCACTGCTCCTCCTCTTGTCCTCCTGTTTTCTCTTACGACGCTGCCCATTGGCATCACTTCCCTTGCTTCCTGTGGATGGGCAGTCCTCGTACTGCTTCATGACCACCAGGGGCCCCTCCCACTTCATCTGGGTGGTGACTGGTGCACTCTTTCATCCCTCCCATCCTTGTGCTCCCAAGTTCATTATCGAGCCAGCCCCCTGCTTCATCAGGGTGGCAACCCCAATGACTCCAGCATCTGACATATTGTGAGATCTGTGAAAACAGCATCCTCATGTCATTTCTCATGAGAACTGTTGTATGACCCTGATACTACAGATTCCAGTGGGCTTTGCTGTAATATCCTGCTTGTACAGATGTGAGCAAGATCTGCCATAGTGCCCTTCTACTGCAGATCTTGATGAACTCTGCTGTAGACCCTCGCTTTGCCCAATCCTGTGATTCCTGCACTCCCTTCTCATATGACTTCGGTTCTTTCTACTTTCTGTGCCTCCGGCCCCATGACACACTCCTCTTCATATGGCTGCTGTTCTTCCTGCTTCCTGCGCATCCGGTCCCATGACAGAACCTTGTCTGGGTGGAGCTTTGAGTTGATTCCAACCTCCCTGAAGGCTTGTGATGCTAAGGTGCTTGTAATGACCTGTTGTGATTTGCAGTACATGTTGATGAAATCCTTCTTACTGATTGAAAGATTTGCTCCAGCAAACTTGTCAACCTCCTTGGTGAAGGCTTGCTGCAAAGGTCCAAATATCATGACATCAAGTAGTTGTAGGAGTTGTGTTGCAAGGGGAGGAAGGAAGAGAAAGATAATGTGGGAGTCCCATGCTTGCTGAATGAACTCAGCTGTGATGTGGGAGCCATGACCATCAAGGATAAGCAGCTGATACTTTCCTTGAGCCCTTTGCTTGGTGTGCTTGTCCAAGCAGTCCTTGAGCCAGTGTAGTGCAAGCTCATTGTTGGTCCAGCCATTCTGGCTTGTTGCAAAGACCCAGTCCTTAGCTGCAGTGTGATTGTGGTACCAGCCCTGCATGTGTTTCTTGCCCTGAAAGATAACCATAGGTGGTGGCTTTGTCCCTTGTGCACCAATGCACTCAATCACTGTGATAGTCTCCCAATTGCCTGGCTGTGACCTGAAGCACTGATTCTTCCCATTCTCCCTGGGTACAATGATGTATTGGCATTGACTTTGTCCAATGAGAAACCCAGTCTCATCCATGTTGAAGAGGTTTTCAGGTAGGATCCCATACTTGGCAATAGTCTTCTTCAAGACATCAAAGTATGCTTCAACAACTGATGGATCACTAGTGGCCTGTACCCTTGCAGCATCCATCTTGTGAGAGTAGTAGCTTCTGAGTTCTGGATGTTGCTGCTTGAAAGCAGACACCCAATTAGGTCCAAGAGTAGCATCATTATTGTCAGTCCTCTGCCTGAGAAGTTGTTTGGCCAACTGTCTGAGATTCTGTGGTGTTATTGGGAAACCATAGTGAGCCTGCTTCTGTATATGTAGGACTAAGAGCTCTTTGGCCTCTGGTGGTATAGCCTGCAGATGTTGAAAGACAGCAGTGCAGCTCTTGTGCCCTTTGCTGTGATCCCAGAGAGTGTTGTAAGGGACATTATGATGCTCAGCAGTGGCCTTCAATTTTTTGAATTGACCCTTCTGGAATGCACTAAGAGCTTCCTGGATCTCATGCTCCTTCTGGTCCCTGTCAGTCTGCAGCTGGGCTTTTGCAACCCTTTTCCTAGGTGAGGTGTTGACCATTGATGTCAAAGTGGTGTATGTTGAGCAGTGCTGACAAGAAAGGAGTGTATGGAGATGAGATCAAGACAAGTTCAAGACAAAAAAAGTGTGAGACACATAGTGGAGCTGCTGCCTCAAAATTTCGAGATTGAGAGGGACTTGGCTGTTTCAGCAATTTTGAGTCCAGAAACTCCCAAGTCCCCCTTTCCATTTTCGAGGACAAAATTGGCCACTTCCAATCCGAGACCTGTGTGAATTTGACATGTAAGTATGTGAACTTGCTAAAGGGGACGATCCAGCGCAACCCTGAAATCGATCGGGTAGAGCAGATTGTGGCTGAGATCGAACAAAGTTGATCTCAGCTAAAACATCGGGCAGCGCCAATAGGAGAGGGGAATCAGGTACAACAACATCCCACTCATTGTTACACATTGTCATTAGGTAGGATGCACTCACACTTAGGTATGTGCCACACATTTGTGTATATACTTAGCAGGGAGCTCAAGGCTCCTGCAACATTTTTTTCTTTATGTCATTATAGTATAGTGTTTTTGCTCCTTAGCTCGAACACCGTACTGTGACTGATATCTCCCAATCATTGCCATTGAGTGACTCTTTATTTCAACAGGTTATGAGCCCAATTAGCTGATATGCTACCAAACTTCAATATCAACAAAAAGGTTTCACTATCAACATGTCAAACCATGACTACTCAGCATATGAAGATTTTGTACAGGATGCCAAGGACATCATCCATCGCCTCCCAATTAAGCTTCAGAGTCGATTTCACAGAATGATCAAAAACAAAGTATACAGCACAATGGAGGAGCCAAAGAATGGACCAATCTTTGACTACTCCAGCAGGACAAACAGGAAGCTGGTAGTGACACTGCTCACCATCCTTATCGAGTGCACTAGTCATCTCTACTTTGCAACCCACAAACTAAGTCTGTCCCACAATCATATTGACCTTGGAAAACAGATGAGGGCACACATCAACTTCCTCATTGCAAACCCAGACAGTGATGCCTCTTGGATCCTGGACCTCAAGATTGAGAGCAACAAGCCCAACACCTCGGCTGATACAGGCAATGTGCCTTACTATCATGCTGAAGATATTGGCCAACACGACACTCGAGATGCTGCATCGTCAAGCAGCGAGGCTCAACACACCGAGACGTCCGAGATGTAAGCAGTCGCACGCCTGAAACCAGATTGGGTGTTTCCGATTGATTTCGGTGAGATCAATTGAGTAAGATCTACTCAGTATGTTTCAACTGAAAGTAACCAGACAGCTTCATTCTGGTAGGTTTCGGCTGACCACCTTGAACACTCCATTCAGAGGTTGTGTGGCATGTCTGTAACACATTGAGGTGAGAGTGGTATCAGACACAACTCTCCTAATGCAGCACAAGTGTTCATAGTGCTAAATGCTCTTGTCATTGTCTGGACTGCAATAAGACTTATTGCCTACAGATGACAGGAGGTACTGGACTGCAGGTGTTAGACAATGCCTTCAGTAACTGACTGGACTGCAAATGTTGAGCAACACCACCTACAGTGATGAACTGGACCACAGGTGTTGAGGAACACCACCTACAGTTGACATCTGATGGTGATACAACACACACATTCTATATGTTGTTGCAAAGCTATGCTATTGCAATGATACAAGTCAAGTAAAGAGTAAGTAAGATAAAGAGTAGAGTGGATGAGGATCCACTTGTATGCTATGGTGAAGTGGTAGTATTTATGTGTTTGGAGGGTGTCATCCACCACACCGCTCCTGCTCCTCTTGGAGAGTGTTGTCAGGGGTCTCGCGCCTGAAACCCAGGTTGGTCTGTCGAGATACTCGGTGACTATCAAACTGTGCGACAGCTATTGTCTTGGTATTGGTCTTGACGAGCTAGTTGCTTGGCGACTATCAAGTTGCGCAATGGGTGGCATTCGTAGTATATACTATCATAGGTTTCGGCTGACCTCTGTGGACACTCTGTTCAGGGGTAGCTCAGCACGATCAATATCAATACATAGGTTATGATGACAACAAGGTCTGGTGTGAGTGTTGATGATGATGAGGTTGATGGTGTTGGTGATTAGGTTGGTGAGCATTGATGATAATGAGGTTGATGGTGGTGGTAATAAGGTTGGTGGCATCAACACAAGTGTCCAGTGTGTTGACTGATGCTTGAAGTGATCCCTGGACTGCAGTGGACTACTGCCTTCGGTTCTATCTATATCCAGACTGCTGGTTTGCTATGAACCGCCTTCAGACATCAGGTAGTGGTGATACAACACATGCACTATGATGAGGAGCAACCTTGATAGATTGCTACTAGGCTGACTGAAACTAATGTATACTTATGCTGAAGTGATAACTAGTTATGATGGGTGTGTAGAGTGGATGAGGATCCACTTGACCTTTGATGATGAGAAAGTATGGTTATATACCTCTTCACAGCATCGCCAGCGATGCTGCTCTTGCTCTCTCTCCAGAGAGTACCTTCTTCATCGAGTACTGTACAGGGGGGCCCCTCTAGCACCACTCCTGTCCTCCTTTAGCTATTGACTCCTTCGACACTGCTCCTCCTCCTTGCTATCCTGCTTGCTTGGCACCCTTGTGCCTCTTGAGCTGTGTCGACTCCTTCAACACTGCTCCTCCTCCTTGCTATCCTGCTTGTTTGGCACCCCTGTGCCTCCTGGGCTGTGTCAACTCCTTTGACACTGCTCCTCCTCCTCAGGACCTGCTTGCCAGTTTCCTATGCACTGCTCCTTCTCCTTTGACCGGTGATGGTTCCTTTGACTCTTGTCTCTCGAGCCCCTGAGTGGTAACCATCTGCATGCTCCTTGAGCTTGGTCCTCTTCATGGCTGTGCCTGCTCCTTGAACTTGGTCCTCCTCATGGCTGTGCCTGGCCCTCCTCGCATATGGCTCAGTGCTCCTTTGCATGTGAGTCCATAGGAGTCCATGGTCTCCATGGAGACTGCACTATGACCATGCTCTCTACTGGTATCAACTAGATCTCCAATACCTGTGCTCCTTCCATATGAACCAGTGACCCTCCTGCTTCCTGAGCATTCAGGCCCATGACAAGTTTTCCCATCCTCCTCCTGTCTCCTCCTCTCCCTTGAGCTGTGTGTTGACCTCCTCAACACTGCCTGTCCTCCTCATGGTTCCCATATCAGTCCCCTTGGTCCATCCCCCTCTCCTCTCAATCCAGGGCCATTCTCTTGGCCCCTATCTGGTGGCCCTCCCTGACTGTGTGACCATCCTTATTGTCCCACTCCTGTCCATGCTCTCTACCTTGTGACTGGCCCTATGCAATCAACACTTGTCCCCCTTGTGTGGTAACCTACCACATGCTCCTGAGCTAGGTCCTCTTCTTGGCTGAACTCAGGCCCTCTCTCCACATGTGACACCTTTCCTGGCATCTTCTCTCTGCCTTTGACAATGGGGGCCTTCTCTACCAAGCCTCCCATTGCTTCCTTGTATTCTGTTGATCCATTCCATACTGATGGGGCTTCTTGTGGTGTGTTTGGTGAAGTCAATCCAATGAGTGTATTCTGCTTGATTTCAACAAAACCAACCAGAAAACCTTGATGCTGTTGGTTTCCCTTAATTCAACCAGGAACCTGTGTTATGGTTGATTTCGCATTTTTGTGCACTTTTTAGGCGCACTTCATCTTCATCTCGGATCTTCTTGCGCAGGTCATATGACACGAGAAACCTCTGCATGGCAGAGAAACAACACTGAATAAACCCCTCCACACCCACCGCAATGCCGTAGCTGATGCAGCTGATGAACCATCACCTCAAGGTGTTGACCAGCCTCAGTGACAAATTAAGATGGGATGACAAAGATCAACTTGACCCCAAAAGAGTTTCAGTTCATGCATGGCAATGACAGTTGCATGAGAAGCTATCAGTTGTCCCATTCACATGTGACATACTTGACCACAAGGTAACAACCTTCACTGACACAGACTCTTTGCTATGCTCCATCATCATGGGTAGCTTCTCTCCACAAGTAAGGTCAGAATACTTCTCAGAACAAGGCAATAGACCTAACAAGCTTGCAGTTGATCTCTATGACTGGGCTATTGACAAATGTACAATACACTCTGATTCCAAGGAATACAAACTTCTCAAGGAAAAGTATGCCCTCAAGTGGGATCAAGTAGGGAGCCAAGCATATGACTTCCTCACAAGGTGGGAAACACACATCTCTGAGCTTCATGCCTACATGACTGAGCCTTGGACACTGGCTCATCGATACAAAACCCTGAAGGGCATGCTTCCTGGTGATAGGAATGCACTTTTCAACTCAAGTTTTGTACTTTACAAAACATTAGTTGATGAACATACAAACTCAAGTGTTGCCAATGTCCTGCACAAGTGTTACAAGTTAGCAGCCAACAGTGCACCTGTCCCTATCTCAAACACCATCTATGATACTGATCTGAGTGCCCTATGAGCCACCACACTCTTAAACTGCTGGGCATGTGGTGACAATGGACACTTGGCAAATCATTGTCCAAATGAGATTGCATATGACAAATGGAAGAAAGACAGAGTAAAGGTACCTCCAAAAACCCAGGCAAACACTTGTATCATATTGCCACTCAATCACCCTTGAGACACATAGGATAGGGTGCTGGAACCTGCATCCTTCACTGATCTCAAGCCAGCACCCCCATATGTACCACCTGGTCTAATACTGTTTGTATTTGACTCTGGTGCATCATGTGTTATGGTCAACTTGGAACAACATGGAAAGGGCTTGCATGATGCCAATGACTCCATTACCATCACCACCACCAATGGTGGTAAACTCCCAGTACCAAAAATAGGGGGTACTGTCAGCCTACTCAGCCTGAGTCCAACAGCGAAACAATGGGAACAGATGACTTACAATGACTGTCTCTTGGTCCCTGGATTGGTGACTAATGTCATGGGACAGGATGCGCAGGCAGTAAGAAGATCCGAAGTCATATGAAGAGGAGCACAGAAACCACAGGATCAGGCTAAGTGAGAGCTTAAGGCAGAGTTCACTGAGATCAGTAGTACAAATGGCTCTATGGCAGGACTCATCAGGATCAGTAGGAATGAGGTCATTACTACAGAGCTCAGTGGGAATGGTAATACCATGCTTGTACAACAGACCTCACAAGAATCAGTTTGAGAGGCACCCCCATCACTGATATGGCAAGAGGAGGATACCAAACAAGGGAGAGAGCACCACCAAATGAAGAAGGGGCCTTGCATGATGATGAAGTCAGTGCCAGCAGGTGGGCACCAATGACAGGAGGGTGATGAAAGGGTGCAAGTCGCCACTCAGATGAAGTGGGACTGGCCCCTGATGGAGATGAGGCAGCAAGAGGCCCATCCATCCACAGGAGACAAGGGAAGTGGTGCCAACGAGTAGCATCACAAGGTGGATGGGGAGGATAGGAGGGACAAGGAGGAGGAGCAGTGTTGCAGGCGACACTGAAAAGAAGGTATATAACCATGTTCCCCATCATAGTAAGTGAGTGGATCACCATCCACTCTACACCATACATTACTAGCTATAACTTCACATAAGTATACTTAGTATTCAGTCAGCAAGTTGCAATCACAATAGATTGCTTCCATTGTAGTGTGTGTGTTGTATCAACACTCACTGACATCCAAAGGTGGTTCATAGTAACCAGTGGTCTGGATAATAAAAATAGAACTGAAGGCAGTCATCCACTGTGGTCCAGGGATCACCTCAAGCACTCAGTTGACACACTGGACACTTGTGTCAGCATCACCAACAATCACACTCACCCCAGACCTTGGTGTCAGTACAAAGTTCCTATAGTTATTGAATGTGCCAAGCTACCTCTGGACAGGGGTTAGTCAAAACCTGCAATAGCAAACAACCTATCACATATTTGAGTGAGAAAGGTCATAGAGGCCTTCTATGACAGATTTCAGCGAGAATAAATACAAAGACCTTTTACCACAGATCTCGATAGGATCAGTAGTAGTTACCTCTCTACTGCAGATATCGGGTTTCAGGCGCGTGACCCCTGACATGTGCCATCCAAACGGTTCAAAAGATCGCCTGTTGCATGCTGTTTGATGCCAACATTGGCAAGCGATGGTGGCTCTTTGCAATCTCACAGGTGGCCTACATTTACAACTGACTCACTGGGACCACATGAGATGGTAAGACACCCTTTGAAACCTTCTATGGTAAGGTACCAGAGCTTGGGCATGTGCACCACTTTGGTTGCATTGCTTATGTCATTCTGAGGGGTAACACAAGGACCACATGGTTGCATGACAACCCAGTGATTAGCAAGCACCTGCATCTGCATGCTCTTCACAGTACCTACCTCAGTTACTCCAACACCACTCATGCCATCAAAGGGCACCAAGCCTGGCTCCCAGAACTCAACCATGTCAACACTGTCAAGGACATCTGCTTCTCTGAACTCAAACACCCAAGTGGGAACCCTCCTCCCTTCCATGTACCAGTCCTATCCAGCAAGAATGAGCTACTGAAATCATACAGTTGGCTACCTTCAAGAGACACTTTGGCCAGTTTGGACCATGAGGATAACACTACTTCCTCCCTGCAGCATTTCTCTCAGCAGCAAGAGGCCCAACCTCCAAATCACATTGCTGGCGATCTGGACCCCTACCCCAAATGGGATTGTGTGATGTCTGACATTCATGCTGTCAGCGAGATCATCATCGACATGGATGCCATCAGCACAGACCTCAATACCCAACTGGATGACACAACAGCCAAGGGGGGCACTGATGCTACCCCAGTGGCCTTCACTTACACTTCCCCATTGGAGTCTCCCCAATTCAATCCACACAATGAATACACACTGTCAACACCCAAGTCACCTAGTAGTGAGGCCCCTGACCCTCTAGGCATGCTCAGCTCTACAGCCTTTGCCATGAGTTGTGCCATCAAGCCAGCAATGAAGAACCTTGGACACTATCTCGACCAGATAGCTTTTGCAACTGGCATAATGAACAGAGTAGCCCTAGTCACTAGCAGCCAGGAACTCTGCAGCACTGATGGTATACTACTCAAACCATAATTGCTGTCAGAGGCACAAAAGCAAGAAGATTGGAAAAATGGAAAGAGGCTATGAATGTTGAAATGGACAGCATGCAGAAAATGGATGTCTTCAATTTAGTAGCTCTCCCAATGGACAGAAAGCTCATTGGTGTATGATGGGTATACAAACTGAAGCTTGATGCTCAATGGCACACTACACAATACAAAGCAAAACTCATAGCTCAAGGATATGCACAAAGACCCAGACTAGACTACAATCAAACATTCAGTCCAGTTGTTTGTCTCCAGACCAGTTGCATCCTCCTCCCCCTAGCCCACCAATATAAGCTACACATTGCTCAGCTGGACATAAGCACCACATTCCTCAATGGAAAGATTGGTAAGCAGGTCCATGTACAGATACCACCCACATTTGAGACCCCTGAGAACAACAGAAAGTGCTACCACCTCAAGAAAGCACTATACAGACTTAAGCAACCAGGTTGCCTCTGGCACACAGCACTCAACAAACAGCTAAAAGCATTTGGCTTCAAGCACTGTTGTGCAGAGCCATGTGTATACATGTGAGGGATCAAGGACACCATGATCATATTCGCAGTATATGTGGATGACCTACTCGTTATAGTTGAAGAGCGTTGTCGAGATCAATCGAAGGTGCGTCAAAGTCGGTGATCACAAGTATCGATTGCGATAGTGAATCATTTCTAGGTACATGGTGATTCAAGTGTTTATATATGCCTCAATCCTCTTCATATGCATGTGTGGTACTAAGAGCTGATAGGGCAGGAGCATGAGGGAGTAACTAAGAGGTTGAGGAGAAAGACACTGGCTGTCTGATGACCAGCATCTTGAGGTTTGGCAGTCAGCCTGGACAATGCACTAAGTCCAAGTGAGCAAAGTTGGTGATTGGATGTGTGGGCTCGGCGAAGGCTGCATTTGCATGCTTCAATAGCCGAGACACCACAGACTTCAACTGTTATTGGAGCGATGTCGTTTTGTGTCAAGTCAGTCAGACTGAAGCTGTCTAGTGTCTTCAGTATCATGGACCAACGGATCATATCTCACATCATTGGGATGAACATCAAGTATGATCATGAAGCACAGATGCTCTCATTAGACCAGAGCAGATATATCGAAGGGACTCTGGAGAAATTCGGTATGAGTGATGCCTGGACAGTATGATCACCTGCCGTAGAGACAATCAATGCGATGGGTCCCCGGCAGGGCGATATGGCAAGCGCAGAGGAGATAAGTGTCATAGGGCTGGATGCGCAGAAGCCGGAAGAACGGATGTCATATGAAGAGGAGCACAGGAATCACAGGATCAGGCAAAATAAGGGTTATGGCAGAGTTCATTGAGATCTGTAGTAGAAGTGGTTCTATGACAGATCTCACCCAAATTGGAATGAGTGGGAGGTTACTACAAATGCCACCAGAATTGGTAGTATCTTGATCATAGGATAGATCTCACCAGAGTTGGAGAGATCAAGCCAATTGTCACAAACCTCACAGCAGGACAAGACATCGGGAGGCACTGGGGTTGCCACCCTGATGAGGCAGGGGGCCAACCTGACAATGAAGTCAGAGCAAGGGGGGCGAGTTGCCACCCAGATGAAGTGGGAATGGCCCCTGTTGTCAGTGAAGCAGCATGAGGACCAGCCATCTGCATAAGGCGAGAGAAGCAATGTCAAGGGACAGCATCTCGAAGTGGATGGAAAGGAGAGGGAGGGTGAGGAGGAGGAGGAGCAGTGTCAAAGAGGCCTCCTTGAGTAGGAGTAGCATCACAGGCAATGTTGCAGGAGTGGATATATAACCATGCTCCTCGTCATAGCAAGTAGGTGGATCTCCATCCACTCTACACCATACATCACTAGTTATAGCTTCACAATAAGTATACATTAGTATTTCCATCAACAGTAGCAATTGCAGAGCATTGCTTCTATGTAGTGCATGTGTTTTATCACTGCTCATTGATATTGATTGACACTGAAGGTGGTTCATACTGTGGTCTGGCTCTCTCAATCATTAGAACCAAAGGCAGTTGTCCACTGTGGTCCAGGGCTCACTTCAAGCACTCAGTTGACACACTGGACACTCCTGTTGGTGCCAACAACATCATTCACACCAGACCTTGGTGTCATCATAATACATTCATCATTATTGATCATGCCAAGCTACCTCTGGACAGAGTGTCCACAGTGGTCAGTCAAAACTTTTAATAGCAATCACCCTATCACATAATTGAGTGAGAAAAGTCATAGAGGCCTTCTAAGACAGATCTCAACAAGAATAATAATAAACAGCTGTTTACCACAGATCTTGATAAAATTGGTAGTAGTTCTACTTCTACTACAGATTTCAGGTTTCAGGTGTGAGACCTCTGACAATAAGACACTACACATCACTGGTTGGATCATTACTCTGGATCGCACAGGGAACTCGTCCTGACATAGCTTTTGCTGTTGGCCGATGTGCTCGATTTGTTGCCAACCCCTCAAGTGAACACCTAATCGCTGCCAAGAGAATCCTCAAGTACAGTCCCTGCCCGAAGTTTGGGGACAGGGTTCAATAGACAATGATTTAACCATCCAATAGCATACCTTCCATCTGCTTGGAGGACTGATCTCTCATAAGTGTCAGGCTGAGCAAAACACACAGTGAGCAAGCTTGGAAGAAGAGCTTTTGATTGCAGTGAGTCTCAGAGCTGACTAATACTTGAGCAGACCTCCATGCTTAGTAAGCACTTGCTCCATGTGATGCTCCATCAACTTGATCACAGGGTTGATATGTTTGAGCATGGTCTGGGTGTTCCACACTTTCTCTGCAGCTCTTGCAAGCTCATCCCAGGTTTTGGAACCAGCAAGCACTTACCAAGCAAGTTTTTGAATACATACCATATGTTCTCAATAGGGTTAAGGTCTGGCAAAGCCAGCAGGTGTTCCTGTGTCTTAATGTGGTATTTGGCCCACTGTTGCTTGCAGATAGCAGCCTGATGACAGCTGCTGCCACCTTCAACAAGCAACAGGCTGTCAGGGTATGCACTAACAGCAGTTATGGTGTCCCAGAGTGGGCTGTCAATGATCCAATCATGATATCTGACAGCTGTGAGGTTCTTGGCAGGATCCCATTGATTAGCCAACCCTGGCTGCTTCTTTCTTGGAGCCAATAGGAGCACAACCAACAGTGTTTTAAGGTTGTATGCAATGCCCACCCATACCTGGATGCTGAAATGGCTGGAACAGAACATTGGGACCATGTTGTTGATGCCTTCTCAAGTGTTTTTCCAGCAACTAACCCATGTGCATCTGGGCCAGTAGCCAACCTCAACAGCTGCCTCATCTGTGAATAGCACACCCCTCCAATCAGTGGAGCTGTTAGCCTTGGCCCATTCTAGATGTTTATGCTGGTGTTTGGATGTCAGAAATGGCTTTTGAAGTGCAATCTGACCTGGTATGCTGCTTTCTGGAGCTGTGTTATTGGAATGTTGCCAAGCAATGCTGACAGCTGTTGCCATGATAGAAACAGGTTTTTGAATACCTCACCCTAAAGGTAGCAGTCCAAGGTAGTTGTCCAGGAGTGCAGAAGGCCAAATCATGCTTTTGTTTGGAAGGAACCATGCTCCTTAAAGTTATGGATGGTCTTGTGAACTGCTGTCTTGGAAACACCACTTAGCTCTGTGATTTGTCAAATTGGCAGCCCAGTATAATGCATTGCAACAATTGAAGCATGCTGCATTGGAGAGAGCTCATTGCCACAGACCATATCTGTGTTTGAAGTGTTCTTGCTTAGTATGATGGTAGTGCTATTGCTCACTGATGACAATGACCTGAATGCAGGGTAACTGGCTAAATCGGGAAATTACCCAATTGTCCTCAAACTTACACACAGGGACTGTACCTGAAGGGAACTGTAAGCCGTCGTGTGCCTGAAACTAGATTGGGTGCTTCCGGTTGTTTTTGGTGAGATCAATTGAGTAAGATCTATTTGGTATGCTTCGGTTGAAAGTAACCAGACAGGTGAGTTCTGGTAGGTTTCAGCTGACTGCCTTGAACACTCCATTCAGAGGTTATGCAGCATGTTCATAATACATTGATGTGGGAGTGGTATCAGATATAACTCTCCTACTACAGCCCAAGTGTTCATAGTGCTGCTGCTTAATGCTCTTGACACCATTTGGACTGCAATAAGCCTATCACCTACAGATGATGGGAGGTACTGGACTGCAGGTGTTTTAGACACTGCCTACAGTAATGAACTGGACCACAGGTATCAAGGGACACTGCCTACAGTTTGACATCTGATGGTGATACAACACACATGTTCGAGATGTTGTTGCAAAGCCCTGCTACTGCAATGACACATAACTAAGAGTCAAGTAACAAGTAGTAAGATATAGAGTAGAGTGGATGAGGATCCACTCATATACTCTATGGTGAAATGAAAGTATTTATGTGTTTGCTCAGTGTTGCCTGTGACACTTCTCCTGCTCCTTCAGGAAAGGGTTATTGCCCCTTCCTGGCACTACTCTCCCTGGGCTGTGTGCTGGCTCCTCTAGTACTACCCTTCTGCTGCTTGGACAGTGTGCTGTATTTTTTGACACTGCCCCTCAACCTCTATACTCTTTTATGCCTGGCAATGCGTGCTGACCCGTTTTGGCACTGCTCCTCCACCTTATGGTCAAGACCCTGTCATGGGATCGGGAAATCGGGTAACCAAACCGAACATAGTGAGCAGCAAAACCATTACACCAGCTAGTCCCTTAGCTGGTGTTCAATTCACACAACACTGAAGTATAAGCATTTTCACTCCCAAATGCTCTGGACTCGGAGAACGGAACCATTCCGGTGACAGACCCCTATCTCCTTGACACAGGTCTCCTGTCAGGGGTCTCGCGCCTGAAACCCAGGTCGGTCTGTCGAGATACTCAGTGACTATCAAACTGTGCGACAGCTATTGTCTCGGTATCAGTGACTATCAAGTTGCACAGTGACAACAGGTGGCATTTGTTGTATATACTAT